AAAAATGTTCTTTACCAGTTGAAATGTTCAGGTGATTTTTCAAAAAAATTCAATATAAACATCATTGAGCTTAAATGTTCTCTTGTAGTATTTCTAACCCTGTATTACCTCACAGCCACACTGAGCTTAGTGAGGAGAATGGCCTATTCACAATCAAAAAAAACCAGACTGGTGCATAGGCATTTTTATAAATGAGCACAAATAAAACAGACAGCAGAAATGGTGAAAAATTAAACGTAATTCTTCAGAATGCCTGCAGTGCCGCTAATCCATAATGTGAGTAGTAACACAAATAAAGGAATTTTTTAGATCCTGTTCTTCCTCCCAATTAAAATAAGCATCCTGTTAAGGTATAATACATTCAGCAAGACCCACATATTCAGAAATATTCTTTTTTCCCCTTTTATTTTTACCTACATATGCTATTGATCTGAATGCTGCCTAATTCACAGATGCAAATAAGTAAAATCATCTTGAAAAGATGAGGCTATAGAATAGAATGCAATTTAAATAGAAAATGTCTTTCATTCAGAGAGCTGCAACGCTGGGACACTGCAGTGGCTCCCAGCAACATCTCCTGGCTTCTGAGACACATTGAGACCATTTTTCCCAGCAGAAAAAGACCTGCAGCTCCTACTCGTTTCAGCTTGACTGGTAGATCAATACATTCATGAACTTGGACTATTGCTTTTGACAAACTCATTGAAGTTTCATCAACAGCTCCACATGAAAAGACTTGGATTTCCTGGCACAAAATGACCAAAAGCCAATAGTGGCCATATCAGGCACTACATCTTACAGGAATAACATACATTTCTATTTACACCAAAGCTGTACTATTTTTTCACATGTATATTTGGTGCTGCTGCTGAAAACAAAGAGGAGAGGATAGCTTACATTTCATATCTAAAGTGGAATGCAGAAATATTAACACTGCAAAATGAAAGGCTACAAAGCTACTTCTATGATTTTAAATCATGAAGCTAGTGCAAATGTGTAAGAGCCAGACAACATTTTTCACGAGTTTTTCCAAAAAAGGCAAAAAGCACAACTACTTATTTCTGACAATTAAGCAGCTTTCACAGTCTTTGTTCTACTGACACTTAAAAATGCAGTTTTCAATTATTTACACTGTAGTTCAACACCTAAAGCAGGAAAAAAAAGTATAAAGTCTGTGTTCTGCAGCACAGTAATCCTTACTGAAGGGTTCATTCTATAGCATTTCCCTTAGGAATTACCAGCTGGCAGAGTATACAGGCTTGGATTCTGCCATATTCTGTAACGCACTATCATCCGTTAACACTCTGATCAGCCAATAATATTACACTAAACTGGTCACACACACATACGTTATCAGAGATGGTATTTTTTCCCCCAGAGATGATGATCTCATTTAAGAACAGTTGGTAAATCAGAAGGTTGTCCGTGCCCAAGGCATTGACATGGCAGCAGCTGGAAAGGGTTAAGAAGTATGAGCACACTTTGGTCAGGTTCAACAACTTCATCCAATTCATTGAGGGTAGGTTTATTTTAAGCTTCTGAACCCTCTTTGAAGCAGCTGGGAGGATTCCCCACTCCTGGCCCACCAGCTCTGTTGTAGGGACAGTCGTGTCCAGCAGGGCAGCAAGATAATGCTAAGATTTTAAAGTGCTCCAGTCATTTACAAAGTGAACATGCATCAGTGGTCTATGTGTCTCAGGTGCTTTTAGAAATGTTAAGTTGCTTCAAACTGAGACATGGAAGTAGGGCTAGAAGCAGCATTCATACAGAAATTAAACTGAAATCTAGCACTACAGTGAAGGACAAAAAAAAAAAAGATTTGCATAAAAAAATTCAAAAGTTCTAGACCAAGATCCTTCTGGGTTTGTAAAATGGGTTTAAAAATGGCCAGCAACAAAAAAATCAAACATAGGTGGGGCAGATCTAGTCCAAACACAGTCAGTCTAAAGTAGGCTTTTACTCTGCCACAGTAACCATCTGAACAGAGGCTATGTCGACTTCTCCATGGCACGGCTTTGTGCCAAGTGTTTTAACGCTGTTCTGGAAGAGCTTTCTCTAAGAGAGGGGCTGTAGATCAAGTTTCATTCCAGTTAGTTACCTAATCAATACAAATAAGACTAGGACTTAACATAGAATTCCCAGGAGATCATAATAATCACCCACGATTACTTATGAAAGCAAATAAATGACCAAAAGGTTTTATGTATCATTTATATACCTTAAATCAAACTTCTGAAATTAAACTTTGATTCCTAATGCAATTAGGTGTTGAAGCACTAAGCAAAACAACGCACAAGCAAGCACTGCCTGAAAGGCTGACTGCAAGGGCAATCAAGGATTGAGCCAGGAGAGCATGAGCAGCCCTGAAACACACCAGCAAGGGGAGGCACAACAACAGGGTTGAGAGAGTGGATACAGGAACAGGCATAAAAAGTGAAATAAAGACCTACAGCTATCTTTTCCTCCTGTTCCTTCAATGAAACAGACTACCTTCCAGTGGTCAAATGACAGCTAAAGATAGTAGAAGGTAAGGTTCCCAGATCTGGATCTCAACTGTGGGAATAAAAGGAAGAGAAAGAGAGAGGAAAAAAAAAAAATTTCATGATTTCTGCCTCGTTTCTCACTGTGGGAAAATCTGCAGAAACTGGAGGTTTACCATTTCTGTCAAATGTATCGCACAAAATGCATTAACAAACTCAGGCTTTCTGTCAAAATGTCACGTATCACTCTGTAGCTTTGTTCTGGTATTACCATTACGTATTTACTACTATAAATTTTATTTTTGTATCTGCACAACATAGTTGAATAACTTTGCAGGCAGTGGTATCACAGTTCAAAAAAAGTTGGAAACATGCACAAGAGGCTATTCATTGTGCTATTTTTACTATTCTGAAGTCCATACAATGAACAATGACTCAGAGTATCAAGCCGGAGAAGCACTTGCAAACCATACAAGCTTGCTTGCTCATTTATTTGTTTGCACTGATTCGTTACATTCCTCAGTGTAAAATCTATGGGGCTCAAGAGAAAGCACAAGGGAGAAATCCTGTTTCCCAAATTGCTCTTCCACCCACCATGCCCTACCGAGATGGTGGCGGTCACGCGAGGTGTCTGGGCATACACCTCTGATGTCCACGCCGGAGAACCAGAGGCTGGGCTGGCTGGGTGAAGAGCCCCTACAGACCAATGGAGCACACTCCCTCTGGTGGCCTCACTCAGTCTCACTTCATCAGCACCCACAACAGGGTACAAAGAGCAATTAAAACAGGCAAATTTTTGGTTTGCTTGTTTTAGGTCATACATTGAAGCGTTGCGCTTTTTTTCCCCTGTACTCCTGAGATGACGCTAACTTTTGGTGGGTCTATGCAATTATTTTGGAGAGGTTTGGCAAAGTTCATCGTAGCATGCAGCTACAAAAGCAAATGAGTTTTTCAATGTGATGCAGTGGCATTATGGACACAGAAAGCTATTAGAATAAGTATGAATAATAATTAATAATAATAATAATATCTGCTTCACCTGTGAAACCTGTTATGACATTAAGAAAAATTTGTCTGCCCAGGCCTAGCCACGTTTTCTTCAAGCAGGAGGTGAAGAGGAGGTTGGTTTTCTCTGTGTGCACTGGTTGTTTTTGCACAGAGCAGGGCTGATGTTTTGCAGTTGCTGCCTTTGTCTTCATCTCACTGTTCTGCTTTGAGATTTTTTTTTTATCCTGTCTAGCAGGTTGCTTAGAAGCCTGCACAATATGTTCCCATGTCCATATGTTGAAATCAAAACAAACAATATACAGTCAAAACAAAGCACTGTGAATATTTCCCATTTCTAATATATGGCTCATCTATCATAAAAGAGAAAAGAATGTGTTGGTACTTTATTATATCATATGACAGGACCAAAACACTTAACTTTAAAATTAAAATCTCAAAACACCCAGAAATAGGCATGGGCATCTTAATCACCATAGACCTTATTTTTCTTAAGGTTAGATTGGGGTTAAGATTGAATCTCATAGCTAGTATACCTGAATGGTGGATAATTTTGCCAGGTACAGCAACATGAATAAGCACTGTTACTTAGACATCTGAAAATATTTGGGTGTAAAAGCCTAAGACAGTGAAACAGTGCAAAACTGGGTTGTAATCAATATTTTTTTCTCAAGGTAAAGTGAAATTCATGAACATATTTGACTAAACATGTCAGCCGTGAACAAATGAAAATGATGGCACTGAAAGATTAGATAATAGCTCTATGATTCATATTTAAGAGTGAATAATACTGAGGGAATACTCAGAAATATGGATAAGAGGAAACCACACAAAAGGCACAGGGATCAGGCTCAAAGAAGGGACAGCTGACAGGTAAATCTGAATCTAGCTACCGACACCCAAAGGCACAGGCAAGATGAAAGAGGTATTTGAATAACTTGGTTTTGCAAGAGAAAACTGGGCAATAAGGGGAAACAGAGCAGTGCAAGAAATAATTAGATACTTACAGAGTACAAGCTATGCCACTTCTCCCCAAAACTAGTAGCTCTGCTTAAACATTAGCTATTCCCGTCACACATTTACGAGCATTGAAAAGTGTATGGAGTACAACAGTCTGGCACCACAGACAGCAGAGAAAAACTGTACGCTTGCAATTAAAAATCCCTATATTTCCAACTGATTTTATGATAAAGTCAGATGTGACATAAGACTAGACTCCAGAAGTACAGGATATCCAATATATAATAATCATATATAGTAATACTACTGCCAATTAATTTCTTCTTCCTTGCCTTGACTCTTGTCAAGTCCCTGATACAAAACTATCTATGTAAGGCAGGTAGTTTCTTTTGTTCCAGTCTTGCTTTCTACCTTACCACACTGTTCCTAAGACACCACGTTATTTTTAAAACATGTACAAAACTGAAATCATGTCAGATTCTGTTACTGTCCTAGAGCCAACATTTTAATACCATGCTATTAGTTCTATATTTAATACTAAAATGGTAGCAGTACCTCTTCCGCAAAGTTAGTTTTCTTGTCAAGCATTTCTCGTAATGTCTGAAGAATTTTAATGCAGAGCTTTTCTTCTTTCTCCATTAGCTTCTTTGTGTGATTAATCAACCTTAAAGTAAAATATTAAACCTTAAAGAGCATTGCACATTGTTGCTAAGACATACTACAATTTCTTTATGCAAAAATTGCCTGTCACTATATTTTTCCTCAAGGAAAGGAAATAAAAGTAGACAGGAGAAATCATAATTAAAAAGGAAATGGGACTTTCAAGGTATTGTGAGTTTTTTGTGTCAATTTGCATATCTTACTGCCCACACAGAAGGCAGAATTCTACATCCACTTTTTATAAGTGCTTCCAGGTTAAGATCCAAACTTGCTATTTCATCCTTTCTTTATTTAAAGATAACTTATTTTAACCTTTATTGAAGGTAACCAACATTCATTTTGCATCTTGCAAACTTTAAAAGCTACAACCTTTACACTTTCCGACTTCTAGGATGGTTATAATATATTTATTATATAATTAGCAAATGGCATCCAGCCAAAAGGATTCCAGAAAACCTTACATGGAATTGTTCAGAAATGCAGAAATTTGGATGAAATATAACCATTGTTTACATCCACAGAACTTTACAAGACTGTTTCAAGCCAGAAAACAGGGTACATTTCTGACTCCAACTAGGACTGCGATGGGAGTTTGGGTTTTAGTCAGCTTAAGCTAGTACCAAAAGCAGCCTTTGTATCTCTGTGCAGAGCAGGTCCTTGCACTGGTTCACATGCTGCTAGAAAAACCTTTGTGAAAACAGAAGAGGGGAGGAAATCTGAAGGCCTTGGACAGGTTTTTTCCCTTCAGTACCAGTGCTGGCTTATGGTGGATAGAACACTGTTCATCAGATTATGGCCTAGGATCAGCATACAGCAAAGGCACTGTGGCCACCGATTTACACTGAAAGATGGCATCGTTAATAGTCCTAAATCACAGTCACCAAAACCAGGGCTGGGAGGGCTGACGCTGCATCATCTAGACAAGTGCTCCATAACCCAACAGAACTGATTATATTTAGATCACTGCTACATTAGAATCATAGAATCATCTAGGTTGGAAAAGACCTTTAAGATCATTAAGTCCAACCATTAACCTAGCACAGCCAACTCCACCACTAAACAATGTCTCTAAGTGCCACATCTATACATCTTTTAAATACCTCCAGGGATTAGAGCGCTAAAGCCATCCTGGGCTCAGTGGAGACACCATGCAGGACTCTCCCACTGTCATCTTCACCAGTGTCATGAGCTATGAGTCCGAAACAATGCAGCTCTCAGGCCTGCAGTACTAACAATATTTTTAAAGTAGTACATCTTTATCTCAGAATTTCTGCATAGCTCTGCAAAGAATTCCTTTGCCATGGAAGTTAATTAAATAAAACGGAAAACTGTTTATTGCATTGCATGGGCCTCTTCCAGCAGCCCTAGACTTGATCTGATGCTGACTTTGAACAGGCGTTTGGACAGAGAGCATGAGATGGGACAAGCTCAAAATTTAGCTTAATTTTTCCAAACATATAAAGTATATTGTTATAACGCTACCTCTGCAGAATATGCAAAAAGCCAAGGAATCAGGAGAGCTGCCAAATGCATTCATTTCCCCCAACTTACCTCTGTTTAAATTACAGTTTCTCAAGGGCAGGGAGGGCATCTCACTTGGGGACTAATAAAAAAATTGCAAGACTCTGTTCCAATGCACAGACTGCAAATAAAACATCTAATAATTCAAGACCAGGTAAGGGTGCCAGGGTGAAATGTATTTTTAAAAGAGCTCTTTGGCAGTTTAAAATAAAAATAAAAAGATTTATTTGCTGTACCACAAAAAAAAAAAAAAAAAAAAGAAAAAAAAAAACACAAAAAAACCCCACAAAAAACCTAAACCCTAACAAAAAACCACTAGCCCTGAGCAACTTGCCTTATTATGAATTCTTGAAAATTCTACCATGGAAAGTCTAAGTTTCTGCTGTAGATTTGGAGAAACTTGATAGTAAAAGTAGCCCATTAAGCAAACAGAAGTAGGTTGAGCCTGCCACAATTTTAACAAGCTACTAACATCCAATTTCTAGGCAGACAAGGCAAGCAACCTCTCTCTACTACTCTCCAGGCTCCTAAACTTCTGAGAAACATAAAACATACATCAGAAGACCTCAGTTTAAGCTTTCAGTATGAACTCAGACACCTACATGCTTAAGTCACTCTTGAAAATCAGAGGTAAGTGCCATTGAAAATTTTAAGTCCCTTCCATCTTTTCCAAAGAAGCAAATAGGCCTCTCCTTAACACCACCTACTTGGACATGAAAGCACCACATCTTATTCTGGCGTCACTCCCCTCAGGAAAAAGAAGTTCTGGACTGTGCAGCACATCAACTAGCACCGAGAATTCAGCTTGCATCATGGGAGTGAACTGCTGCTCCAAGGAGGACACTACGTCCTAGGGAAGAAAGAAGAATGACATTCATAACTGCAAGAAAACTAGAACATCTCTGTGGAGTTGCACAATATTGTGCCATGGGCTATTTGACCCACTTCTGATAGCCAGCTGCAAGGGCCCTTGTTAACCCAGGTGACAGTAAAGCAACCTCAAGCCTCTCTTCACACCACTCCTCAAGCAGGGCAAGGGGGAGAAGACACGAATGCTCACAAAACACTTGGCAACAGTCAGGATGATGGTGTGCTGGAAAAAATACCGCTTGTCATACATGGTGTTAGTGTACCACCTGAGGTGTTGCTTCCTTGGTGTTTAGGGCCCCTCCATTTGTCTGGGTCCTGCTGTTTTCTTGGTTCATAAACTCTTGATGTCATTGAACCACTACATGCACAAGGTGATCTCCATCTTATAGCCAATCTCCAGTGACCCAAACCTGACATAACGGCTCCTAAAACCTCCAGTACCTTCTCTGCAGCCTAAACAGGACATGTGGCCATGAAAAAGCAGAAAGGAGATCCTTCTCTGTGGACCACTTTGAGGAAAAGAACATACTTCCTACCCCTCTCTACTGACTTCTGTAGAAGGCGAATTGAGATCATGGATCAAAAGGCCCTGCATGTTGGCATCACTTTGAACAAACACCAGAGTAGAGCTGAGCCCTCTGCTCCCGCCACCTAGAAGTACAGAGGGCACTGTAATCCAGCACTAAAAATGCATGAGTCTATCTATGGTGTTTTCCACATCTGGCACATACTAGATAAATGCACTTCCACAACTACTGCCCAAGCCATTTGCTATTTTTGTACCTGTAGTTTTTCTATTATATTCCTGTAATCCCAGGCAGGCCCACCAAGAGCTTCTTTAAAACGAGGTCCACTGCGGGCTGACATTCTCCACCCCATGGCTGCCCTCTGTACCATGTTAGAGTGACTCTTCATGAACAAGGTGTTGACCTGGCTGTCCAAATCCACTGGAATTGCAATCCCACGGTTCTTTGCTTTAACAGAAACAAAAAAAAAGAAGAAATTTACAGCGGCAAAAACTTGGAAAATCTGGTGGAGTTAAGGGGCAGGGGGATCTCACTTCAATAGGTTTTAAAAATAAGGATCGAAACCCTTATCTGGTAGAAATCAGGTGTAATCCAGTTAAAGAAGCAAGCAAGCTGTCCACTTTAAATGAGATAAGGATCATTTCCAGTATATATTTTCATCAGTACTAACGTTTATTTTTTAAAAAAGAATAAGTTTTTTACCGACTTAAAAAAAAAAAATCAGATCCAGTGATATTCATAAGAGTAACAAAAAGGGTATGCATTATTATTTCAACAGCTAGTTTTACCCTATTCAGAAGTAAATTAAAAAATTCTTCTTTCTAGTGGACATACGCACATTTAGCCAATTTGTCCCAAGTGCTATTTGTTGCTTTTCGATGTATTTCTCTTGTGAAGACCTTGAGAAACCAAGTGCATACAAATTAAATTTTAAAAAGACTGTCTCCTCTCTCCCTTCATTTTCCTATACAGCCAGGGTTGTTAAACCATTGGGTTTCTGGATGCCACAGCAATATAACTAGTTAATAAACATGTGATAGTTTAACTGATAGTGAAACAAATTTAACCAAAAGTTTAAAAAAAAAAAAAATTTTTTTTTTTTTTTAGACTGGAGAATATCAGTGGAAAAAAATCTGAGGAAAGACTTGCACAAATTCTCACAGAGCATCCACTATTAAACTACTATTGCATCCTGAACTGTTGTTTGAAAAGGAGGTTTGAAAGACAATGTTAGAAGGTATCTGCCCTCTCCTCCATGAAAATCTTTGTGTTAGCTGCATCTCTCCATTCCACTGATCAGAGTGACATTCTTCTATTGCTCAGCATGAGTTGTCTGAAATTCAGCAAAGAAACACGAGATCGATGCAGCAATATCTCTGTCTGAAAGATTAGGTCACATTCCAGTGATTAGGGTTTGTATTCTATGTCATTTCACTTAATTTCCATGGCACAGTTTATGTTTAATAAAAACTTAGAAGTGAAATGGAGAAGCAGTTCATGGTTTGTAATAATGACTAATAATAACTAATTTTTCAATTTTCCTTACTGAAGCAAGGTGTATTTTTAAAAAAGCATTAGCCCATATTACAGTTCTGCACAGTGTTTCTCTGAGGCATTTCCACAACCATTCAGCACTAACATGCACACTTTCCACACCAATGGAAAGCATCGGAAATATTCCACCCCTCCCTCCTAGCTCTTAAAACATGTACAACTTTTAAGTCCTGAACTTGTGAAGTCACCAGATGCCCTTCTTTCCCAAACAGCCTATGCAGCAAACCCCACAGGAGTATGCGCAAGCAGAGAGTCAGGCATAGAGCTCTCATGAATGAAGGCTCATGTGCTGCCAAGCACAGTGAGTCACAGATCCCAGGCGGAAACTTTCTCTTCCCCCGAATACTATATTGTAATGGCAGCATTTATTATAAACCTAAATATGGCTGTGACACCTCAACCCCCTCAATCTCACAGACTACGGCAAGAGTGCTCAGTCATGTGTGTCTTCATCCCTTTAACAGCTCCTGTGGGTGCACGGTGCCCTCCTCTCTTCCCGCTGCAAGGGTGTATCCTGATGCAGGACCAGGGCCTCCACCTGCAGATTAGGCTGTTTAACTGGGATGGAAGAGACATCTCTTACTCTGTTTCTGGTAGGCACTTTCTTTTAAACAGTTTGCCATAGGGAATTAAAATTTTTTTTTTTCTTAGGTCAAGATGGGAAGACACATTTCCCCACAACCATATACAAATCATCAGCAGCAGATGTGCAGCAGTTTTCACACTGGCAATTGACTTTTCCTTTCCACTTTCAATTTGTTTTGAAGGCAAGGTTCCCGATTATCATGAGGAAAATACCATGTATGGCTGCCCATTATTTCTAATGATTGTTTTGCCATATTATTTGACTGGGTTATTTTTCAAAACACATTTGCCCTGTTGCTGCTTACTTTATTACAGAAGTCCATTAAAGTTCTGCCAGTGTGAGTAGGGTGCTGCAGCCTATTAATCCAATTTATGTTGTCCTAACGTCAATCACTGGAATGTTATTGGACAATGCTCACTTCTCAATTAAGTGGTATGTATGCAGAATCCTGATACACCCAAGAATAAATTTAGCAATGGGGAGCATGCTGTTCAGAGGAAAATCCAGACTTCTGCAGTCCCATAGATGCCATTTGAAGTTAACAACTTCCATCAGTGTCTGAGGAGCAGTCAAGGACTATGACTGTTCAAAGAGTTGCAGCTAATTAAAACTATCACAAAGAAAACCAGAGAGAGAGGAAAAAAATACTCCTTTGTTTTGAACAGTTCTTATATGTATAATTCCATTTGTAATTAAGATTTGTATTGGTTGTCAAAGGGCACTGTTGAAGTCTAAGCTATAAACAAAGCCTTTGTCTTCTTATTTCTTTGCAGCTTGTAGAAAGTTTATCTTTCATTTGTTTCACATTTCATTATTTAAAACAACATGAAACATATTTTTACATTTTGGAAAGCTGATGAACAAATGTGAACATAAATATTTATTTTTAATTTAGGTGTTGTAGGCTGCTTTCCTCTTCAAAATGTGTCAATCTCCCTTAAAGTATGAACATAAAATATTTAAAAGCATGTTTATTTCTGTTCCACTTAGAAATACTTTTGGACAGCACTCAAACTTACAAAGTAGGGTTAGAGCTGGTAGACAAAGGAGTCAGGAGGGGGTAAAATTCTGTCTTTCATCTGACTAGTGAACTTGGGGAAAAAAGCATGCTACGTGGCTGTATGTAAACTGGTACCGTAGGTGTCAAGCAGGATACTTACCAGGATGGACTAGAACATGTCTTCAGCTAAGGTAAATTCTGCCTTGCAGTGGAGGGCATAGCACAGGCTTATATACTGCCCAGTGCCTACCTGGGGCACCTGCACAGGGCTAATTACACCCCGAATACACTGCACCGTTTTGCAGTGGCAGAGGAAATGCGATTTGTTGGGAAATCCTTTGCATGGCAAACTCTCAATCTGCTGCTCACAGTTATGCTCTCAGCAATTGCCATGGCTGAGCCAAGACGAGCAAGGAAATGGTACCCATGGAAATGGTAAGCAACTCAGTGCCGCAAATTCAGCCAGGTTGCAGCAAAATGTGCTGGATGGTTCTGTGTGTATCCAGTGCTTCAGCAGCTTTCCTCTCCTTTACTGTCTAAACTATGAAAAAGTACTCTGAGACTGGGACTCAAAAGAAAAGGGCAACATTAATGTCAAGAATCAAGTAGCTAAAAATGAAGCCGCTCTCTACGAGTGAGCTAGACTCCACCAAAGTCCCAAGAGCATAGTCCAACTGCTAACAGAAGGGCTGAAATGGGCTGAGATGCATTTTGTTAAACTACCTGCAAGTAGTTCTCTTCACAGAAGCACAGAAATTGGAAGTAAAAGGACCTGTTTCAGGAATGCTTGCTGAAGCACTGTCCTTTCACTACACTGCCTACCTGAGTCTTAGGATCAATTTAGTACTAAGGTTTTCCAGGAAGTGGCCCTTGCCTGTAATTTTCCATGGAAGCCCATTCTTCAGAGTAATCTACCTTGCCATAAGAAAGCTTGCCATTCTCCTTTGTTTTCCCACCTACTGCTCCCTAATTTTAACTTTCACTCCATTAGCTTTTGTAGTATATACAAAATACCACAGTATTTAGTGGCTTCACAGCTATTCAGTACACTTTGCACTACCCTAAGCCATGCCTGGTGTGGGTCTTCTGGGGGGACAAGCAGGCGTTTCACCCCTCAGAGCTCCTCAAGGAGCAGTGTTTCAGGCAATCTGGGTCACAAAAAACCCACAGCTGTACCTGCCTGTGAAGCCTTTACTCTCCTCGCTGTTTACACCCCTCTGGTAGTCGCAGACAGCTATATCATGTTTTCCCACACTTCCCCGTTGTCACTTAACGGAGCGATGCATATTTAGTTCAATTAATTTTGCTCCATAAATCAGTCCCTCCAGCTCCTTAATCATTTACTGACTGCTTAACAAATGCATTTGGATGGAGAGACACTAATGCTAGCAACAGCAAGGCTTTTTAAGGGAAATGAAAGCTTTGTGCAGACAAGACACAAGCCTGCCAATCTTGTACCCTTCACTTGGATGTTTTTTTCCAACAGAAAATCTACGCTAAAATATTTATCAGTCTGTAAAAAGATCATCATTGAATTTTTCTTGCAATTAGGGAAACACAAACAGTTAAAATAGAATAAAATATGCGCTTCATCTGAAGTGTATTCTTCTTGCTGTCAAAAAAGTAACAACAGGATAATTATTTTATTTGAACTAAAAATTGAAAATGAAGGTCTAGCTTTTTATAAAATGGAAAAAAGATTTTAAAACTCAAATGTGAAGTGAAATAAAGTATTTCTGAGCTGCAAAAATTTTTATAGGAAAAGTTAATCTATATGGACACTAAAATGCACACAATAATTCCAAAGAAGCAATAAAATGTACTCTGGATTTTATGTTTAATGTTTCCTCTTTGTAATTTGACAGGGAAAAGAAAGGGCTTTAGAGGACATAACACCACGGTCAAGAAGCACCACAGGAGAGTTGTTTTGATTCTGTAACAAGGGGTATTGGTGAGCTGAAATTGGAGAATAAATACTCAACTAGAAAGGACTTCACTACTCCTTCAGACCATCTGCTCTCTGTTACAGACAACCCATGTTCTTTAATATCTTTTGAAAAATGTATCAAGCCCAGAGCTACCTTTTCTGCCATCCCTCCTCTCTCCATTTTCTCTTGGCCCATTGACCAAGGACATCCTTCCAAAGTTGGTTCCAAACCTCTGATTTACAATTCAAATTTATTTAGGTTATTTACAACCTAGTGTAATTTATGTCCGGTTGTTTTGGGGTAAGCACTGTCCTTTAACTTAACTGTCTCTTCTTTGTGACTATTTATCTTCCTCAGTACTTTTAAAGAGCAACAACATAGGCCTTTGTTCTGCTAGGCAAAACACGTGGGACTCCTGTGGTCTCTCCTAGTAATACAGTTCTCCTTTCCCCCCACCATCACAGTAGCACTTCCTCTGTTCTTGTTCCAGTTCTGAACTTAGGAAATTGCAATCTTAAAGGACTTGCCTCCACTTTCGTAGGATGGAAAGGATTCTCCTTTTGCTTCTCCTGCACAGCATCCTAGAGTATAATCTCATAATGACTAATGTAATTTGCCTTGCTAACAAATTTTTTTTTAAAGGGTCTGCCAAGAGAAATAGTCTAACAAAAAGCAGGTTCCTATCTGCCACTGTTTACTCACCTGGGAAATTCCAATTATTTTGTTATTGGTGGTAACAGCACAGCCAAACACATACTACATCCCTGGGATACACACGCAGTTCAGAGGGAATATGCAATTTGTAAAAACATAAGGGAGAAAGCTAATGGATACTACAGAGACAAGAGTATAATACAACTAGATTCACAGTTTTAAGAGAAAAGAAAACTGATGCTCGGGGGTGAAGGTATAAGAATCACCACTTAATTAAAAAGCAAAGACTGTTCTTTGCATGGATCCTGAAAGACTGGTCAGCCCTTGGGGAAAGACCCTGCTACAATACAATCTAAGATACACAATCCAGATCTGTAGTTGTGAGGATGGGTGACAGTCCCCAGTTTTATCATGTAGGAAGTCTGTAGATGGTTTAAAATGCAAACTTTGAGACTGGCCTCCACCCTTCTCAATCTTGCAAAGATTATAAAAATTTAGGAACTGAAAGTCCTTTGATAATGAATTAATTTGAAATAAATTAAACTGTTAGATGTCTTAGTTCCTCCGTTTTCACAAAGATCAGGGAACCTTTTAAACATTTTTCAGTTGTAGTTATTTTACCAGTGAGATGGAGGTCTTTTGATTATTCAGTTTTTGGACTACATTTTCAAGCAAAAGCTCAGTGCTATGTAATAATAGAGAAAAAGCAAAAGTAATATATGTATAAAGTATTAATTCTCGTTACTGTGATAATCTGCTTCAGAAACCCATATGAACAAGACACATTAACACATATATATTATTTCCTAAGTGTTTCTATTCATTCCAGGTAGCCATATGTTTACTGGGCAATAAAAACCTGATGCACATGTGTTCCAAATCTCTTGGAGACACAGAGGAGTCTGCTGAAGAACAGAAGGCAAGCCTCTATGCTTCTTGCTGAACTGGAGGCAGACAACTGCCTGGAGACAAAGCGGCAAGTGAAGCTTGAAAAGCTTATGAAGTTTTTCCCTAGTGGTCAAGTGGAGTTGAAGTATCAGGGTTATATGAAATTAGCTTCTGCAACATATCCTTTTGTTGACCTGGAAGATAATGCACATTCTTACAGTGCTTATAAGAAGACAGATGTAATGATCTTAAGCTCTTGAGGCAATACCTACATCCACCTGCCAGCAACAAACTTGTAAGCACTGAGCAGATTGTCTGTTGCTTAAACTTGCTCTGAAATGGCTATTTTAAAAGTGCATTATTATATGGATCTTTGATGTCTTGGGAAATCTATGTATGATCTTTCTTCCCCCCGAGATTCATGTCTAAATCCAGAGCTATGACACACACACCAAAAAAAAAATCAAAAAAAAAAAATCATGTGTTTGTTCTTTCAACTCAATACATTTATTTTCCATCAAAAGTCTTTGGTCCCTGCTGTAAATCTGTCCAATACTCTCTCTCTCTGATATAGACAAAAATCTTTCTAGAGGTTTTTGTTTTAAACCCTGCTGTGAAACATGAAGGCCCTAACATTAAAGCTGTCAGACACTGAAGTAAAAAAAAAAATTAAAAAAAATAATAAAAAAAAAAGGCAGAAGGGTGCTTACAGATCCCTAGCGAAAATTCAAACCTAGTCCACATACACAGGCAGCGAAAGAAGCAAAAAAGGGCTGCCCTGTTTGAATTATGGAAGAAACTTCTGCATTCTCAAAGAGAAGCAGTATTTTGTGCAGTGGAACACCTGACAGAGAAGGGCACTGGACATGCACTGTAATCCCAAAAGGGCCTCAGTTTTAAAAGCCTCTGGTACCCCCAGCTGAGGCAGTTTTTCCAAAGCTTGCAGCAGAGCAGAGGAGGCTTACTCAATTAACCCAGGCAAGGCACGTTTGGCACCATGCCTGAAAATACTGAGTATCACCGGTGGCTGAAATCTCCACTAGCCAGCCACTTTTGCACAGTGGCGTTTGTTAAAAAACTCTGCTTTCGCTTCTCCGGCTAACTTGCTCTTTGGGGAAATCCCCCTCACCTGTTCACTTATACTCCCCTTCTGCACTGTCACAATAAAACACCAAATAAAAATGCGTGGCAATTTGCTAACAAAACAATTTTACCATGCTTGATACCGATATTAGTGATGAGTCCTTAAACAGTTATTATGATATGGACAAGGAAATTGGCAATGTGCATGCTAACGCATACTTTTGAGGGCAGCTCTGGGGCTGCCAGGCCCACGGCACCCCCAGGTGATGCGCAGCCTCCCTGCCCTGCTGCCACTGCAGGGAAGTCCCAAAAGAGGACAAGGGATGATGCCCTTCACTGGCAGCTCAGCTCCACTCTGCCACGCCTGAGAGCACCCAAGGCATGGCTGGGGTCTCATGGGTGGGAAGCCAGAGCAGCAAGAAGGTTGGACCCACAGGACAGCACAAGAGCATACTTATAAAAAAACAACTGTAAAGCAGCTCCACAAAACAGAAAAAGGAATGAAGGAAAAGACTACAGCAGAGGGAGAAATTAAAGTCATCCAACAGGGAACAAAGTCACATATCTGAAGAAAACTACGGACATCAGCCACACTTTGCATTTGGGCTTTCCCCTTGGCTTCCCCAGGAACAAAAGGCACACAGAAGATTACCTCCCAAAGACCACCAGCCCGTTCACATGCTGGCACACCTGGCCAAGAAGCTGGATCTGCCAGCCCATTAAGGTGACCCATGCTTTCCCTGTCAGGCTGCTGTGGGGATGAGTTCAGCTTGGCTGTCTTCGCACTATGCTCAGGTGTCTCCAATACCCTCATCTCAGTGAGATAGGACAGCAACATCTCTGAGCTAGAATTTGATTTTAGGCATATCTCTACAGAAATGAAAACACCAAGCTGTCTAGAAGCACAAATAGGGCACGCTCAGACTCAAAAATACTCTCACCTGCTCTATTTCGTCCCCCTTTCCCCAGACTCCCTAAGGAAGTAATTTACTAATGACTTTCCAGAACTGCCAGAGAAGAGCAGGGATGTAAGTGTTAAACACACAAACAGGAATTTGTAGGGCTAGAGCTTTATTTGAGACTGTAGTAGCTATAGCATGAACGAAATAAAATGTCTTCAACTTCTAAAGTTCTCTTGCCAGATGGATCCATAATTAAATCATTTGCACAAAAAAATAAAACAATTGAAGGTTGCTACATTTTTAGGTAACTGCTTATTCTTATTCACACAAAATGTTAATGAGATGTTTTGGCTAAAATATTAAATTATACCCCTGTAAAGCTATTCCACAATCTAAATTTAGAGCTGAATGTTACAATGCCACAGATGCTGCAGATGGTTAAAGGACCCTCTCATACTGTTTTATCATTATTTATTAAAGCTTTTTAAAAATTGCATCAACAATAGTATTTAGCTAGTTTCTACATATCTGCGCTTCTACTCAGTTTTCAGTCACACTGAGCAGAACTTTATTGTACAAGTAATCAGGATGACTGACTTTTAGAAACTGTATTGAATAATCTTTTTTTCTGATATGACTTTAAAATTGTATTCACAGAAATTTATCTTAGGAATGAACTTTTGCCAGTCCTAGCTATGTACAGGTGAAAAATCTTTTTTTATTTTAGGATAAGAAGTTTTAAATCTTCTACTTTAACATGGTATTTGAATTTATTTGAAAACACATAACTGATTAGCTGCCCTGAGGAGCAAATTTGGTCTTGAAGCCAGTGCAAGGCAATATTCCCCTGACAAAGCTAACTGTATAACACAGTAACTGAGTGGGCCTGTTGGTGAGGACCTGTGGAGAAGCTATGGAGTGATACAATTGTGGTTTCCATCCCCAGCTCCCTCATGGGACACAACCTGAACAAGCCCACGAGCATGGCTGACAACAACAAATGCATCTCCCAGGAACTGAGGGGAAGAATGATGGGTGTTCTCTGACGCACAATTGCTATGCATCACTGCTTACAACAGCTTGTGCAAATGTAGCCCAGCACAATTAGAAACACCCAGGTTTTCTCATAGCTTATGTTGTGTTTTAATATTAGAACTTGCTTGAGGTAAAGTTCAACCATCACTCACTTAGCAACTCATCTCTCTGACCTACAGGTTTCACCTAGCAACCCTATTTGACAGGACAGATTTGAATGGTTTATAAAAAAAGAGGAAGAATTTAGACTCAGAAAGTGGGATTTCTGAAATCACCACTGTCACAATTTCAGGTAGACTCAAATTAAACCTGTTCAACCTCAAGTAATTCTGACCTTAAAACACAAGAGAACAATAATGAAAGTGAAACCTGGCACCTACCCACTTCAGCCAAAGTCTTGATACATGACTCCACTGAGGCTTTCTGCGTTGGGTTTGGCCAAGTACAGTTGTAAATTCTAAAAGCAGACTGCAGCAGCTGAATAAAAACAGGCTGGTGTGTCTGAAAACAAAATGATAAACATGGAATTTTACCGTTCAGAATCTCCTCACAACTGCCCTAGGGTTTGACACAATGTAAATCACATGCAAGGGGGGTTAACTTGCAGACTCAAGTTACAACTCCATTAAATTATCTTTGCTTTTCAGGACTGGAGGGAACAGAAATCAATGCTGCACCTCTAAAAAGGTCAAATCATGCAATTTTTCCTCAGATGACCAATGATACCTAGCAAACAGTACAGACCAGAAGAACAGAGGAGTCTTCCCCGTTCTCAGGTATGTGTCCCTTTTGTCATAGGACACAGCATTTTTCTCATACAAATACAAAGATAGACCATTATTCTTCAAGGATATCCCCTCCAATGCATTGACAAGAGCCAGGAGTAAATCTGACCATATTGAGCTGTCTACTGGTTCAGAGCTGTAAGTGATAAAAATTAAGAGTAACTGTTTTAGAGAGGAATTAAGCTGCTAGCCAGTGGCATGCGAGGGGACAGAGAAATTAGAGGAGGATGTAAAAATACAGCATTCTCATTAACGGTCTGCATTACGTGTTTGTCTCTATCTCTTTTCCTTACCTGAAGGCTGGTGCTATTATCTGAAAAGGGTGAATTGAAGAAACCACTCACAATGTTCATTACAGGCTCAGTGACATATTTCTCCAGAGATGTGTCTGCATGTTTACGATCCGTGGTTGTGTTACAAACCTACAGGGAAGGCAGAAACAATGAGATTTAGTTCTTTTAAATAAGCAAGCGTCAATATTTTATATTTATTACAACACATGTAATATTTCTTCTTAATACAAAACAAATTATTTTTTACAAAATCTGTCAGAGATAACTATCTTAGAGTTCAAGCTGTATTTGTGATAGCTTATCTTTCTTCTTGGAGGTCCACGTTGTCTTTTGAATACCCCTTTCTTCTGAACTACCTGTTTCTGGTTCGCTGTCTATTCTTTCCCACACTGTGAGAAAAGATCCCCCTAAATCAGCACATTGCATGTCACTTACACATTTAGACAGATTCAGGAAGAAAATGGGCCTTTCCTCCCATTGTGGCACTGGTGGGAAGAGGTTTTAGAGACAGATGAGACATAAACACCTTAGGTTAGAAAGATTTCATGTAATGTTTAACTTCTCTCTACAATCAGTCACTACAAATGGGTGGCAAAGGTGAAGCTCATTTGCAGGAAAAATGTTAAAAAAGGAGGGAAAGAAAGGAAATAGCACAGTCAATCCCAACAGCCTTTAGGATTGTAAGACAGGCAGCATTACTTAGGAAAGTCACATGGGGTAGATAAAAAAGGCAAGCTAAAAACAATGAAAGAAGAGAATGGATGGTACTGGGACAACTCTGGAGCACAGAAGGATGATTAAATAGTGGGAGGATGTGGGAAGATTTGTACAAAAGATTCCTGAAGACACCCTTTGGTACAACACTAGAAGTTTGTTGCTGCGTAAAGATGTCATGCTTAAAGAAAGGACAAAATGACTGGGGTGGATTGCATCTTTCAATATTTCTTTTATTCCTTTTCAACACTTGTGAATATCTAGAGAGAGTCATGTTGACTTTGCATATGTCAGTGCACACAGTACTAAAAGGAGTCTACAAAGAGCCAAACATGGTGAGAAACACATGAATGGACAGAGTACAGACTGTAGTCATACTACCTCTTTAACAGCTTTTAAATAAACAGTTCTAGTCATGTTTAACAAGAAATTAAAAGGCAAAGCTGTTCCCTCTTTCACCTGTGCAAGCCACAGACTACTGTAATGTTCTAGGCAATCTAAGCGAAAGCAGAATTTATTTTGTATATAGACTCATTACTATCTGAGCTCTTAACACACAATCATGAACCTGAGTGGTACATACTTACCATTACATCGCTTTATTGATGGGGAACTGAAATCCAGAGAAGGCTAGTGAATTGCTTAAGGTCACAGAGAAAAGTTGGTGACAGAAGCAGAAAGATTATCCACAGTACCTGAATCTCACACAGGGCAAACATGCTCTCTAATTACACACTGCCACTGTCACACTTCCACACTACAACAATTTCACCAGGAGTGTTTTAAGGAAAGTTACTGACATGATATCCAAAAGCACCCGTGTTCAGGGGAAGATACAGCTCATGGGAACACAAAAGCATTTTAACACACAAGCATTGTCATATGGTAGGCAGAGGAATAACCAAAGATAACTTGAGACCTACAGGAATGAGGCATCTTGAGGAGCTTTGCTTGTCTGCTTTTCTAAAATGTGTCAGATAAACAAGTCATGCCCCCACATAGTGCATTTTTTTTATCGCGCCAGGAAAGGAAAGATTTCAGTCAGAGAAACAAATGTGGCTAAATTGAAACAGCGAACTCTTCAGCCCTTCGGTTTTGGGAAAAGAATGACACCACCCCCAGTCCTCATGGAGGTAAAAGATTCAATTAATAACCAAAACTTTAAGAAAAAATAAAATCATAGAACCAAAAACCTCTTGAAGTCTTTCTGCTTTTAATTAATCTGCATGCCAATTTTGGCTGGAACCAGTAGCTCTGAGGCACAGCACTTGCAATCGCAATGGGAAGACAGGGAGCTCTGCAGTGCTAGCACGGTGAATTCAGAAATTGCCAAAACTAAATTCCAAAACACTTTTAAGCTTTCCCCTTCGTTTGCCTAAAAAAAGCAGAGGCATGTGTGGGGATGCCACTCTGCTCCAACACCAGCCTGAAAAATTCCCAGCGCAGAAGGAGTTCAGAAATCCTCTGATTTGTTCTTATCCCTCTGCCCTTTGGGTACTGGAAGATGTTTCCCCCATGGAAGAAAAAACTTGAAATGCATGAAATGGAGATGAGGATTGAAAAAGCAGTGTTTAAAAACCCCTTAAGAGGCTTTGGGACCGAAACTCACATGAATAATACTTCAAAAATTCTGCAGAGAAAGCCAGGATGACTTTACAGCTGTCAGATCCTGGCTCTTTCTTTAATCCTGCTCAGACTACAGCTGCTGCCTTACAGGCTGGGCCACACGCAGGAAAGGGAAGCCTTTCCTTCAGCAGCACCCACTTTGCTTAGTGCAACGCTTTTAGTCATACACCGGGAGAAAGTAGGTTGGCAGAAACTGTAGAAACAGGGTGTCTTTGAAAGCATGACTGCTTTTGGCAAACTGAATTTATACATGAATCCGCCTCATGCCTGCTTTGCAATGTATCACGTTGTTGAAAGAGAATGACAGTTGGGGACTAAATATTTCCTTCCTCAATCCGGAAACAGATTTACAAAATTGCTTACAGTTGGATTTTTTTTTATAAAAAAGGAAGGAATCCAACCTGAGGATAATACTCTCCATCTTTCACCTTAGTGCTCTCTAACAACAGACTCAGGCTCAACACTCACAAACTCACCCACTGACAGGCATTTGTAGTAGCTAAAAGAAAAGCATTTCCCCTTCCCCCACGCAAAAGCATCCCTTTTAGCTTACTGGAACACAGAGGATCAAAGGGCTCTTTTTCTAAATGCTTTGAAAGCTATTGTAACATCTTTCATGAGGCTGACAGCATCCTAACTGTCCTGATAGCTACATAACGCTGATGTATTTATAACACACGGGCTCTGTCTGGTCCCCAGAAAACCAAACCTAAACAAATACTCTCAATAACCTGGAAAATACGGCTACCCTCAGGGATCTGGCTGAAGGGCAGGACAGGCCAGAGCACTTCTGACATGATCTTTTAGTTCTTTTAGCCATTGACCAAGAAATTAAAAAGACTAATTAGTCATCTGCCCTGAGGGCTCTGCAGGAGAACAAAATAAACGTGCATTTTGCCATTAGGTGTCAACAGCACACGCACACAAAGTACAGCATTAATAATACACTCACTCTTTACCTCTGAAGACCTGGAGTCTAATTTCTCTTATGAGAAAGGTATGTGAAAACAAGCTCAGTGGTCACTAGCATCAGGACAAGCCTACACCGTTTGGCACAGTGCAGTTTGTCTCCAGGCTCATGAAAGAAACTGTGGACAGAGCCCTCTTTCTACATGTCTGCTTCTAGCCCAAGGACAAAAAAACCTGGTCACTTCAAGGGCTAGGAAGGGTAGTCGGTCTAGAGGATCAGGGTCAGGACACATCAGGAAAGGGCAACCTAGAAAGGGAATTAAACAGGAGAAAATACTTCTGGGGGTAAAACCAGCAAGGTCAAAAATCAGAATCCCCCTCCAAGGAGGTTTCTGATCTTAATTTTCCAATAAGCTTGGTTTGCCCAGAAGGGCTTCCACTGTAGAACACACAGAGACAAGACAAACATCAGGAAAACAGGGTTTGTAGAGGTCTCATTACTGCTGAAAATGGCTACCACCAAAAAAAGAGAGCACAAACATCCATGCCTTAAATTTTTCCAAGGAAAAAAAAAAAAAAAAAGATGACCCCCCCAACCACTTATAAGTTTGCCATTTCACAGAGACATGACCAGGTCCCAGTGCCTATCGTAGAACACAAGTCTTTGCACTCATTCTTCTTTCAGCCATAATTCTCTCATTTTGTGGCACACTATTACTTTAGGGTAAATGTCCACTGCAGGACTGAATTGAGATTCTTTTGCCTTTCTTTCTTTTTTTCAACAAAATTAAGAATGCAAGGAATGAGAACTTAAGGATCGTAAAATGTAACAGACCGTGGACTGGGAAAAGATAAGCATGCACTATGACAACATGCTCTATAACATCTCCAAAATACTGTCCAGCATCAAGGGCCAAATACAGTCCACCACCCGCCAAAAACCTGTGGTTCTATTTCTTGAGTAGAAAAAGCAACTCCATTAGTTGGTATTAATATTAGGCTCTTACAAGAAGCATTAACCTCCTAGAAAATTATATGTAATGTAAGCTGTAATCATTATGTCACACTAGCTTCCCCACATGGCTCTACTATTGTATTTTATCCTCCTGGAAGTCACAAGATTTCCCTCATTTTCTGCCTCCAAAATACTAGGGAACGGAAGCTTAATTCAACTTCTGACTTGAAGCTTAATTCAACAAGTAATGACACCATGAAGCTCACTAAGGTCCACAGGAATTGAATGCCTACAGTACTAACTATGCCCCACCACCTAGCAGCTTATAGTTTATATATGAATTAGTATTCTGAAAGACCATAGCTCTACACCTGCCTTTCACATCAGTGGTGAGAATGTAGTGACAGTAGAATAAAAGACAAAAACAGGCCGAAGTGAGATTAAAGAAGGAACGCGAGCCAAAGAACTTCTTGATCCCCAATCCTCACTGTACCAACAAAGTAAAGCCAGATTATAGATGTGGGGTGGTTTTTTTAAGTCACCACCATAATGACGTGCAACACATGCTCCCAGGAGACGTACACAGACTCAACCCTGTATATACATCCAATTTATTTTTCTGAAAGAAAAGAGAAAGGAATATGGGTTCCAAGATGCCCTTTTAGAAAGAGAAGACTGCTAGTAATTAGCAGGTTAAATGATAACAAATAGCATAGAAATGACATTTGTTACAAAAACCCCACACCTATTCTACTGTCAACTTTGAAAAAAAAATAGTTAATAAAAGAAGTTCACCAAAAAAAGTTATTGCCAATTCAGTCGCCACCCATGACTATACTGTACTAGTTAACATCTCATGAAGCTTACCCTTGCCATATCAACAAGGAAGTTCTCAAATAACTTCCAAATATGGTTACTGGCATAGATTTCTTTCATTTCCACTTCAGTGTCCACGTAACAGTGGTTAACAAAATTAACATAGGCAATTTTCACCTGCAGGAACAGCAAAAACACAAACAATATGAAATGGAACAGTAAAAACCATTCACGTAACATCTTCAATCTGCAAAAATACCGGACAATAAAGATGATCCTTCAAGTACTAACAAACACTAGTAACAGTAATAATGCATATGTGCAGTTCTGAAGATTTAAGGAGAAGCATGGCACAAATGCATTAATGTACTTGCTGAAAGATCACATGCAGAAAAATAGAAAGGTTTTGCAAAACATTCTTACTCTAACAGCAAAACCCCCACAAAACAAACCAATAATAAATCTGATATTTAAATGATATTAAGACTACAAGGGCCTGGCTCCAAACCCAAGAGCTATCAAAACGCAGGACACTCCTGCACTTGCCAGTTGTCTGCTGTGGGACTGCAATCACTATATTCCCACAATCCTAACGCAGCGCTTGCATTCAGGATGGGTGTAACTTGGATGTAAGTGGAAAAGAAAGGTTGTGCAGCACTGGGACTGCAGCAGCAGCAGCACAAGGCTTAACAGGAGGACTGCAGTCTCACTCCTCTCTCACATTACAAGTCTGCATGTGCACATCATAAAAATGTATATCCAGTGCATGAAATGTATAGAGTAAATGTAAACATACGCAGATACACTGAAAATTTCTTGTCGCTGTCAGAGAAGAGATAGTTGCATATGTTTAATGCAGGCAGGAGAAAACTCATGGCAGACATTCAGGTTTCATTTGTTTGCGCTTTTTTAAATTAGCATCTGTTGAAATTAATGTTAGGAGGAACTTTTGAGTAAAGCAAACATTTTTCTTCTGAAAAAAAGAATCAGTTGATCACAAGGGGACTTTTTCACAACATGGAGAAAGTCTTTAATCCTGCTGGTCCCCGTTCTGTTGATAGAAGCCACATTTTTCCACCAGATAGACTGCAGAAATCCGTCCGAGAAATACACAGGGCCAGAGCAAGCTCCTTGCCAAGACTTTTGATCACATCAGGTTTGGTGCAAACAAACATTCCCCTTCTGATCAGCATCAGGTATCACAGTCCTACTGAAGCATGACTGCTAATAGCTGCAGAATTTGGCTTCGATATGCAGTGAATGAAAACATTTGCTGGACTGCAATTGAATCTAATAAAAGGAGACTTCACCCAAAACTCCCACTGACTTCAGCATGGTCAGAATGTTACCCATCATTTCCAACAAATTCAGGCATTGACCAAACATTAGCTTGACAAACGACTCAGCTGAGTCTTCACAGCTACAGACAGAAGTTATCACAGCATTAATGTCTGACAGTGGCTGGACAAACCCAGGAAAACAAAGTAAGGTGTCTACCCCAAAAAGCTGACAACCACAGCATAAGGGACGAGGAATTTTCTGTTTAAGAAAATACTGGCTATCCTCTCTCACTTACTCATTTAAACACCACCTGTTTCCAGCCTGTTTTCTGTGCAAATACTCAACTTGTCAGTATATTATAAACCACAAAACATTTTCTGAGTTTCTAAAAATGTTAAATCTGCCTCCTCATTCAGTGAATCTTACCTCAGGTATGCAGTCATCATGGGTCACTACTCTCACTATATCATCCAGTGGCAGGAGTGAATTGCACTTGATCTCTGTGTATACATTCTTTCCTTCTGTACAAGCCGCTAGCAATTCCACTAGAGTGATGTGATACGCTAAGGGTCCACTCTCATCTGCTCGATCTCGCTCTGAACACATCATTTGGAGTAGCACTGGAAATGATGCTCTGTCGTTGTAGAATATCAACACATCTTCACCGCCGTTTATCAACTGAAAAAAATATCACAAAGTTTTAAGCACACTGCACTGCAGTCATTTTGGACTCAATGACCTTAAAGGTCTCTTCCAAACGAAATGATTCTATGATTTTCTTAATTTCTTATTTTGTTCTACTTTTAAATATGTAAACACTCTCTAGCTAAAAAAAAAACCAACCCAAAATTACTCTGATGTGGCTTACCAAATGCACCTGTCAAAACAATATCCAAAGCAAACTTCTGCTTTTATCTACATAAGCGCAAATCTGGAATAACTCACCAAGGAGTGAGCTAATGCAAGGTGAATTTGAAGTTTAATTTCTGTGTAGCTCTGTGCTTACCTAAGACAGTATGCCATCCTTATTATTCTTACCATCTCAGTGTTTGTTTGAAGTTAATTAATTACCCTCACCTCCTATTGTAAGGCCAAGATGCATTATTATCCTTGTTTTATAGACAGGGACTTGAGGTGCAGAGCGATTAAATCTTCCATACTACCTCACAAAAAAGCCTGTGGCTCACCCAGAATTTAACCAACCTCTTCTGTGCCCTTATTCAGGATTGGAAACAAAGGACGATTCTTCCCAACCTATGCAAATTTGGCAGGTGAGTCTTGACATTGTCAGTGTCATGCCAGCATTTCCATTTAACAGAAAAATAGTGTATGTGATAAATATTTAATTTTGCTACAAGTGCATTGCTCATCTCAAGAGGATCCAGGGCAGAGGTGGATGCTGGCAACCCCATCTCACTAGATCTCACAGAAAAGTTTTGCTTTAACCCTCTTTTGCACACACTCCCCCCATACACTGAACATACCTACAGCCAGCGCTGCTCTGTGAGCTTGAGCATAGCTGGGACAGGACCACTGTCCTGTCTTCTCTCCATCGCTTTCCTTTCAAGCATAATGCACTCTCAATGTAGGTGAAAATAAGCTCCAATAAACCTAGTACAGAATACACCTTGGCAGCACAACAGCTGTACATATTTTGTGAATAAGGCACTTGACACATCCAAGTCTACATGTGACATGAAACCCAAGCTTACTGAATTCAAGGGTAGAAATAAAGGTTAGTGGAGCTATTGAGAAATGGGAAAGTAGCAAGAACAGGAATGAAAATTAGTCTCCCAGAATGAAAAGACAAAAAACTTTTCATCACATTTTCCAAGGTTTCAACATTTCAGATTTTGAATTTACAAGTTTTCTGACTGTTTTCCCTGCTTCTTGCTTATGTTTACTTTGACAATTGGATGGAGTGAACTGTGAATTCAGTCTTTCCTGCAATTGCTACTTCTCATTTATCTTTGGTTTTCTAAAATGTTTCGACTCCTGGCTTCTCAAAGCAGACATTTTCTGGGCAATACACAGTACAGAAAAAAAGTATTTAAAGGGACAGGTGCTTGGGAAGGAGGGAGGAGACAGTACAGGGACTCAGATACCATTAATTTCATTGCACTCAATGGCAAAAAAGCGTGGGGAGGGGAAATATGAGTATTCAGAATGTTGGAAAATTTTTAATTTTAACTTTTTAATACTGATGTCTGGAATGCTATGCTCTTAGGATATTTCACGTACAAAATAAATTTTAAAAAATCCACACCGAGCTCTCTGGGAAGGTACAAGCTCTGTCACTTTCTATTAAGTTGTTCACCACATTCCCATACTTATTTCCCACTTGTGTACATTTTGCACAAAGGAGAGGGAAGATGACTCTTTCCAGGTTCCCCCAGAGTTACACTCTTCTGTCAAATCCAGACCTAATCTCCACCAATATTGCTTGATATTTTATCATATCAAGTCAAAATGACCCCTCATCCTTTCAGGTACCTATTGCTGATGAATGAGGAAAAAATACCAGGAGATACTGAAACTTGCAAAACATGATGCTGCATGGCATGCTTGCTACATACTGACTGTGAGGAACCACAAACCAAAGCAGACGATGTTGCATTCGGTACAAGAAGAGCTAAGCGGGACTAGATAATCATCATGAATGCAAGGACAGAAGATGTCATTCCCTTTCCCCAAGTTATCCACTTTTAAATGTGATTTGCGAAGGGCATCCAAACATTTGCCCAAGCAGAGAAAATTGCATCCCTTTAAAAGCAGAAAAGTAAGAGAAGTATCCAGCGTTAGTCAAAGTTCTCACTAAGCATCATGATCTCAGTGATGGGAAAAAACCAAACCAAACCAAAAAAAACCCAGCAGCATTTTCTTCCACTACAGTATATTTTCAATGAGTTAAGAACTCTATGGATGTGTAATGAAGGTTGGTCAGCATCAGAGCAGCTGCTAACGCTCTGCGATGTATCACTCCAGAATACTATAGATAACAGAAAACTCTGCTGTCACATTGATCTGTTCAAAAGTAAATTCTGCTTTCCCTTTTGTAATAATGTTTGCACTGTTAGGCACTGTTCTTCCAGGAACCTCAAAGTATGCTTGTCATGAGAAAAAGTTCCCTAAAGAACCTTTCAGGTCAGTAAAATGGTGAGACCTCACCTGGAGCGCCACGTCCAGCTCTGCTCGAGCAGCTCCAGAGGAGGGCCACAAAGATAATGAGGGCACTGGAGCTCCTCCCCTGTGAGGACAGGCTGAGAGAGTTGGGCTTGTTCAGCCTGGAGAAGAGAAGGCTCTGGGGAGACCTTAGAGCAGCTTTCCAGTCCTTAAACAGGGCCTACAGGAAAGGTGGGGAGGGACTCTTGATCAAGGAGTGCAGTGATAGGACAAGGGGTAACGGTTTAAACTGGAAGAGGATAGATTTAGGTCAGCTGTAAGGAAGAAGCTGTTCACTGTGAGGGTGGTGAGACACTGGCACAGGTTGCCCAGAGAAGCTGTGGCTGCCCTCTCCCTGGCAGTGTTCAAGGCCAGGCTGGATGGGGCTTGGAGCAACCTGGTCTACTGGGAGGTGTCCCTGCCCATGGCAGGGGCGTTGGCACTAAATAAGGTCCCTTCCAACCCAAACCATGCTATGACTCTATGATTACCAGCACTCCATAGATATGAAAACCAAGGATATGAGAACAAGTGAATAAGCCAGATCGGGAATGTTCAACTTCTTTTATGAAAGTAGTCTTTAGCAATGGTGCTCCTTCATCTGTATTTACTTTCTAAAACATGTAAATATGATCAGTTTATCCCTTACTCCCAGTAAACAGGAATAAGGTACAATATACTTCCTGTGATTAAAAGCAAACACAGGACTCGCTGAGGCATGCTGCACATACTCTATCTTGTCTTGTGCTAAATTGTTTACATGCCCCATCTGGAGGCACAGAAGAAGTTACACCATTTGTTTAAGGTCACAAAGTACATCTCTGTTCCCTATTGAGAAACTGTTCTTACACTATGGCAAGTTCCAACCATTTGGCTACACTGTTCTCTTCATATTGGATTTCCATTCAAGTGCCATTCGAATTTCACTGTTAGCATCCATTGCCAACAAATCATAACTACTTACCTGTAATTTCCTGCTTTTTTTAAAACAGATCATCATCTTACTCTCTTTCATCAAAATAGGGGTGGTTCCCTCCCCCCAGAAAATTCCTGCAGGACTCATGATGTAAATGTCACATCTGAGCTCATTTCAGTTTTCATCATGCAGTCAGATTGAAAATGTAATATTACAATTTATCTTTGTGCTACTATAGGTCAGTAACAAAATGTATTTAAATTGAGAAAAATCTAAAAATTTTGTTTGATGAGAAAGTAAAAACCTACAAGAAGCTGTGGTGGAAGGGGAAAAAATCTAAAAGCACAAAGGCACAAGAACTGTTTGAATTATGTAAATCAAAGGCTTGTAATTGATGTTGTGTGTTAAAACACTTCAGTCAAATTGAAAAGGTTGAGGTGGATTCCATTAAAGGTTATCCATGTAGGCTGAAGCTTTATTTTCTTAATTAGAAGTTTTTCCTCTTTGTTGCTGTGGAACAATATTTCAGCAGCGTTTAGTTTTATTCATACCACAACTAGAGCTTATCTCTGTTTTCTTTGTGAAGATTTCTCTTCAGAAAAGAACAAAAAAAAAAAAAAAAAGTACTTTGTATAGTGTTCCTTGGACTCTGATCCTACCAGGACTTTTCACCGTACTCAACTTTACCCACTTATTAATCTCATTGAACTGTTATTAACATAATTACAGTTAAATGCACAAGTGTCTGCAAGTTGAAGGCTTCATTTATCACGTACACTATATATCAAATCCCAATTGTAGAGAAGTCAATTGGGTATTTTCCTAGTCATTTTATTGGTGTAAAGATTTGTCCACAAACCATTCTGTGGCATTTGGTCAGACTCCAAATCGAGCTAGTTAAATGTAGAGTAGCTCTACTGACTCTCACAGAAATGCTCTGGAACAAAACAAACAAAAGCAGAAACTAGTACCTAGAACCGTTACATGGTTACGTGCTAAAACAAATGGTCTACAACACTATTTAGACAAATCCATAGAGGTAAGAGCCTCTTATATGGCAAAACTATGCCACATGATGGCAAATTTAGTGTGTAAATGAGATCCTAAATTACAGTACAGGAAAATGAAGGTTTATGTAACTCTTGAGATTTCCATGCTACATCATCTACAAATAGACATCTCTGTATCACCATGCTAACACTCATGTTTTCTTTCTAGTAGTTATACAGATGGCCTTACAAAATTAGATTAAACTCCCAAAAACGTCTGCTAAAATATTCACTATTTGTGATACCATTTAAAATTCTAAAGCGATGATGCCATTATATCCCATTGGTATCAAGAGCAGAAAAAGCAACCTCAAAATACTTATGCGTTAAAAAGACATCACACCAATGATTAAAATATGAACCCTTCACTTACCTCTGTCATTACCATGTCCTGGCATTTTTTCACATATTTACCATCTGCTTTCACAATAGTCTGCAGGAAACGCAGGTATTCCACATGACGGCCATGGGTCTCAATGCAGTGTACAAAGTGCTGCACCACTCTTTCACTGATTTCATTACACAGAAGGTAATTATTCATGAAGATGTGCCGCATGGTTTCAGCTTCCAGGAGCTAAACAGATTAAAATCAAACCAGCCTTATAAGAAGAGCGGATTTGTTTTGAGATTGAAAGATTCACAGGACTCTAGACTAGAGAAAGGCACAGTGGTAAAGGGAAACTGTAAAAGTCCAGTGTGCACCAGACCAGTCATCAAGCAGTGACCTTAGGGCCTAGCTTTCATTTATGGTGGGATTTTTCCACACTTTCCTATGAGTACAAAATGGTCCTAAAGTGGACATAAACAAAATCTGTGCCCATGTGGAAGGTGAAGACACACACATACACACACTACACTGCTAAAGCACTCTATACGGACTTTGGTATACAAGACAACTAAGACTACATTCATCCCACTCACTATCAAACTTCGCATTGAGGCAACAAAATAAGAATAAGATGATTAGCTACCTCTGGCTCCCTCTGTGTTTGACAGAGGCAGGCGTTTCCAGCAGGCAAATCATTGCACATGCAGTCTGATCACTCTCTGAGAGAACACCTCTTTCCACATTAACTACAGAGGGAGCCTAAGGCTACGTTTCTATTGGTTTGCAGCATGGTACAAGAGGAACAGATCTGTAGCAAGAAAGGGATGCTGCTGAGGACCCAGCACCCAGACTTTACGCATTACTGGGACTTTTGCTTAAAACTTGCTCTAGTTTGGTCCTTTGGACTAAAGGCTCATGAGGGTCAGGTGTGCTCCAAGGGTATACCTTTCTGTTTAGTGTCATCTGAAAGGAATCCACACCAAGTTTGCTCCACAATGTGAACAAAAGCACGATAACTGGGATGATCAGATGATCAACTTCAAAAGAACAGAAACGCAAGTGCAAATAGGCTCGATACTTGGCACCCGAGTTAAGTGTCAGTGTTGGATCGGATGGAATCTGGGTGCTAGTCACCACTGAGGTCAGCTCAGCGCATTTCACTAACTTCACCAAAAAAAAGCACAAATAAAAAATAACAGAACAAATTCTTCCTAATGTACACAGGCCAGGAGTCTACAATCCTAATACTCACACTCTTTGTTTTGCTCAGTAGATCTGCCACTGAGCGAGGTGTCATTCTATAAACACACACATACTTATATACATAAAGGAACCCTGACAAAGAGATTTATTATAAAGACAATGATTTAATAAAAGATCAAATTTTAGATTAGATGAATCAAATGGAAGCATCATCAACAAAAATGTATGGCTCTGGTTCTACTGTCACACACGCTTCAAGACAGCATAGTCACAGCATCTTCTACCTTGACTTACAGTCCATCTGTGAGTGAGCTAGGATGAATAAGATCAAAGTCAAGCTAAACATGTTGTGATGATGCGACACATGTTCTTAGATACTTCCAGTAAACCCTGCAGGTAGTACTGTTTTCCACTTTTAAAACAGCAACATTAAAAACAATTACATAAAGTGCAATGATAAAGGAGAAAAGACAAGAAGAGAGAAGAGAAGGCAGAGAGGGCACAACTTAATTAAATTATTTATTTAGCATTGTCATTTTTCAGCAAGTCCAAATTTACTTCCAGTTATAATATTCTCCTTAAAATGAAATACTTACCCCTGGAGTTAAGAACAAGTTGAGATTTTTGTGGAGGAGAACTTGATTCTGAGGATTTCCTCGACAGAAATTCTGAAGAAAAGTGTGGGCTAGATTCATAACTTCATTCATCTTTTCATCGCTCTGCAGAAAGACAAACAAAATCAGCTGCGTGTACCTAAACATACTTGTTAAAACCACACAACATGAATTTAGCCACAAACAAACCAATTCTTCTGAGCTGTTATAAGGCAGGAATTCTCCCTCTGGCAAAAGCAACTGATCTAGTTTCCTTCAGAGTCCATTAGTGACTGTACCTTACTCTGAATCAACTTGACCATAGGGATTCACAGGTAAGAGCACAAACTCAAAGATTTCCTCATGCATGACTATAATTCACTAGTTTTAAAAGTGCCAAGTGGCTTGATTTTCAAAAACAAAAAAGCTCTCCAGCCTGCATTGATTTTAAGCTTTTGAAAAGCTTTGGCTTTTATATAGCTACATATAGAAACAGATGTGTGTGTACACCTACGTGAATACATATGTTCATACACATACTGCCACACAAATGTATGTCTAGTTTCATCCCGATTTTTTATTCCTCTCATACAGTATTCTAACTATGATTTGGTGAACCATCTATACGGACAAGCACTATTTTATTGAAGACAACCGAACCCAGCATCTACATCATAACACTAGTGTGTAACACTCAGGAAAATGTAGCCCAAAACAGGTTTTATCTTCTCTCAATGCTTCTTACAAGATCTAGAAAGATGTGCTCTTTAAAAGGCCTTCTAGATCATTCATTTGTATGCTCAATGCCACTAAATCAGTACAAAAATCACATTATCTTCTGAAAAACTTGCAAACAGAACTGGGCTAGAGGCTTCCACCACAGAAACAAAGTATTTCAGACTTGATCCTTGAAAGCTTTTTGTCCTTATGTATCTACAATAGCACTCACATCAGCAGAATTTAGATACCCTGCCAGGAGTTCCATTAAATCAATACTTCTTACCGTGCAGTGACTGCAGACCTAATGTTGGCCTATTTCAGGAACAGGGTGATAGCACAGTGACATCCAGGTACCTCAGGCAGTAAACATTAAGTTCTTAATAAAACCTGTTCTATGCAGGTAGCCACATTGAAACTTAGGCCCAAACCCATTATTCTTAAGGTAGAATATGGCATCATCATTTCACGTTTGTAACATAGTTGATTGAATTCAGTTTAAAAAGAATATTCACACTGATTCTTGGGCCTCTTGAGGCATTTCCCTTTATCGAGTTCATGTTCTTTACCACTAAAATTATGAGAATAACCTTTTCATAGGGTATCTGCAGAAGGTCCAAGACTACCAAGTGGGCGCCCATATTCTTCAGCAGTCGCTGCTGTTGATTTCGACATTTTTTATTCTGAACACAAAGTTTGCTGAGTCGAATCAAAATCTATAAATAAATAAACAAATAAATAAGCCTGCAAGCAAGCAAAGAACCAATCGCAAGACACAAAAGCATTCTAAAATACATTCTTTCAAAATAACTACTAAATCTACTTAGCAAACAAGTATGTCAAGCAAGTTTCTTAGCAGATATACCAACCTCTTTAACAATATTGTAGTTATTGCTTTTATTGCTGTCTATCTGGGGTTTTTTGGTCCCATCCTGTATTGGACTCAAAATATTTGACTCCTGTAACAAAGAACACACAACAATTGGAGATCTATTGCAATTTTCTCAACATGAACTAATTATATTTAACAACAGCAAGTGAAGATGTATTACAGCAGCTCATAGGGAAGGGATATAACACAGATAATAAAGAAAGACTTGTTTATTCTTTATCCACCAGTCCAGTGACTGAAAAGGTTCACACTCAAGTCCTTCCTTTGTTTCAAATTTCCAACATGATTTGAGGAAATTACTCTATGTCTTCATGCTTCTGATCCTCCTAAAAAAGAACACGTCCCTAAATCACAGACTAGACATCCCAAGGAATTTAGATACTATGAGAATAGGGATCATAAGGCATTTCAATAGCCACTACTCGTTCCAAAAATCTCTAATACAGCTGGAAAGATTACCAAGTCTGTGTGTGAACATTAAAAAGTCTGGAGAAAGAGCTTAAGGTGACCTCTGTAATTGACATATGTAGGGTGGAGTTCTCAGCTGTACACAAGCAAGTAGCATGTGGAAATTAGAGATGCTTCTCCCAGGAAGAAGACACTTCTGTCCTTATCTCTAGATGATGCAGGAAAGGATTTAAAAACAAATGAGAACCTTATGTTAAACGGCAACATCCAGTCATGATGCCGTATACTCTGGGCCTTGGCTTTTAGAAAGCCCCAGCTGGGCATGATAAATAAGATAAATGAAGTCAGCAAGTAACTGCCAAGACCCACGCACCTTTCCATGCATATCTCAACCAAAACATGGAAGAATATATACACAAATACTGCCACTTAGAATTCTGGCAGTAGGATTATGGTTTTTTTTTTCTCCTGCCAGCAATGGTACGCCTTTCTTAACTGGAAACACAAAGAATTGAAAGATTGGACTTTGGATGCTGAAATGATTAAGCATGTAGAAAAACTGTAGCAGGTCTTAAGACTGCCTCACAGTATAACCACAAGGATGTAAACCAGTGTAATAGCATAAAAAAGAACCAAACAGGTGTGCTTCCGAGTTTCACTGTGTCCTCAAAGTTCCTACTGTTTCAGAGAAGAAAATTATGCTAAAGCATACACGTGCATGCCAATCTGCATGTTTATACATCTTGAAACCTCTCTCTGAACTTTCTTAGCTGATGGCGAGGATGAGATCTATAAATCCCATCTGGTCTTAATTTCCAGTGGGGCAAGAACAGCTGCACCACTTGGCCATAGAAGCTGTTTATCACAGTGTCAGCACTGCTGTTCATGGTCATGTTGATCTATGCAACAACAGTGGGTTTTTATTTGTGTAGGTTTGTTAGTATGCATGCTGCCTTCTCTCTAGCTGTTTGAATCAATACTTTGGAAGATATTTCAGGCTCTTTGCTATAATTAACCACCCTCCTCTGTTTTGGGACTGTGGGTTAACCAAGATTAATTTACCTGCTACTTTTATCAGCATTCTTCCTCAATCAAAGTAGTTTTATAATCCATGTGAACTATATGTCTTATCTGGAAGTGCTGATCAGCATGAAACTGCTGAATCTATCCTTTCTTTTAACAAAATAAAAGCCTGCTTATTGAACCCATAAGAGTATGCCAAGGATGTAGTTATCAAGAGATAATCACACCACTGGGATATCAGAGACACTCAGTTGCATATCTTGCCTTGTTACAGTATAGGATAGACATTCTCTATCACACTTTTCCATAGAGAACAGGGAGTCATAGAGATTGCACTGAAAAAGATTCTTGTCTGAGTACCCCACCTTTAGGAAACAGTATTTTCTGAAAAAGACTACTTCCTCTATTCATAAATTTCCTGGGATATCACTCTGCATCAGTCTTGGGAGCCTTTCATTCTAGCCCCCAGATGGAGGCCCAGATTCCAGCATTCAGTCTGAGCGGTTCCCCGCCACTAAATAGTCTCCCTCATCTCCGCAGGACAGCTGTGCAAGGCACTAGTCAATGCCAAGCTGGCACAGTTTTGCCCTCCTCCACAGGCTGTATTTACTTACCTGAGGGGAATGAGGGGCACTCTCAGAAGTTTCAGTTCACAATCTCAACCTATATATGATGTTTCAGGAAATGTTTGTTTAAACATTCCCAGAACCAAAGCAAACTGCCACAGACCGGAAAAGGAGGAGAGCAAGGGAACACCAGGTGCTTAAGGGTGCTGAAAGTTTATACCACTTGAAACCTCACTGAACTTTCTCAGCAGATGGCGAAGAAAAGATCGATAAATGCCACTGCACTGTACCCCATCTTCACCTGAGAGTCCTTTCATTGAGACTATCTATTTCTCCTCCTCAGATCTATGTTTCTGGTGCTATACCACCAATGCATCCTCCAGTGACAGGACAATAAAGACCACACTTTCCACAGTCCATGGTGTCTATAGAGACTTATAACACCCTTACTACAGATAACCAGGTAAACAGGCTTTATCTGCTTTTCCCTTCTCAAGCAAGGCTCAGTTATGTGAGATCAGTTTCAGCATTTCTTCCTAATCCTATATGGTGTCTAATTTGTGTCTGACCTAACTCCAAGCACTATCTCCTGTAATTCTGATGTCCAGTTCCTATCAAGATGATCCTGTATGGATGTTAGACTTGTTGTTTTTCTGTGGAGAACTCTGGGTACTTTATTTAGAAGAACATGGCCTTTTTTCTACAGATCCCATTTCTGGAGTCCTATGATTGCAAAAAGAAAAAAAAAACACAAAAAAAAAGTAAGTCTCTAGCCCTCCAGGTTATGTTAGAAAGGTGGAAAAAATTATCCAGAAAGACTCAGAAGCCCAAAGGCAAAAAAAATATGTGATTCTTTTAAAAACTCTTATGCCAATCTTGCAATGTGTTTCAGTGAGGACAGAAATTTCGGTTCAACATATGACTGTTCTGGAATGTAATTTAAGCCCTCATGCACACTTTAATGTTGTTCAGGAAAAATTAAGCACAGGCAAATGGAGCATATCCCCTAAAGACCTAGAGGTTCATCCAGCTCAGTACTGAACACCCAGCATCCATTCCAAGAAAGCATAGGATCTCACAGGGATGTTTATCTGATTGAAGCAAACCACCCACTCCACACATTGTTGATTATGACCAGAGCTGTTACGTCTCACTTAAGATCTCAAAGACAGTATTCACTATCTAAAGTAGTTCTGCCAGGTAAAAGCATTTCCTGGCTGATAAAGAATAATTTAACAGGGAAAAAAAAAATGGACAAGATTCTGAGCCATTGTAACCGGGTGCAGCTCTCATGGAATTACCACCAGATGGGCCACATCAAGAGAAGCGTGGCCAGCAGGTCAAGGGAGGTGATTCTCTCCCTCTGCTCTGCTCTGTTGAGACCCCAGCTGCAGTGCTGCGTCCAGCTCTGGGGCCCCCTACATGAAAAAGACATAGATCTGTTGGAGCAAGTCCAGAGGAGGGCCATGAAGATGCTCAGGGGGCTGGAGGACCTCCCCTGTGAGGACAGGCTGAGAGAGTTGGGCTTGTTCAGCCTGGAGAAGAGAAGGCTCTGGGGAGACCTTAGAGCAGCCTTCCAGTACTTCAAGGGGGCCTGCAGGAAAGGTGGGGATGGACTCTTGATCAGGGAGGGCGGTGATAGGACGAGGGGCAATGGTTTCAAACTGAAAGAGGGGAGATTTAGATTCGATGTTAGGAAGAAGTTCTTTGCTGTGAGGGTGGTGAGGCACTGGCACAGGTTGCCCAGAGAAGCTGTGGCTGCCCCCTCCCTGGCAGTGTTCAAGGCCAGGCTGGATGGGGCTTGGAGCAACCTGGTCTGGTGGGACGTGTCCCTGCCCATGGCAGGGGGTTGGAGCTAGGTGATTTTTAAGGTCCCTTCCAACCCAAACCATTCTATGATCTAACCAGTTGTGTAGATTACATATTACTGTTCTGATATAATACTCTCTCAAATGTCCCAGAGATAATATTGTGCATCTACTAAAGCACTGCTAATCCATACAAACCCACGGATTCCTCATGGGAAAAAAACAAATGAAAATATCCCATTTAGAGATGCTTCTGTTTCAAGCACATTGTTTTGTCCCCTCTTCCCAGAGTTTCTTTGCTATTGGGGGTATCCGTAGGAATAAAAAGGTTCTTACTACACCTTTAAAAATTATTATAGCTAAAAAAACCTTGTAAATATCCTACTGCAATTCTGTATCCTGTTTCGCCATTACCTTTTCCATTCATTAAATACATAAAGGAACATTTTCTTTCCTACTAGAGCTATACTTGAGGAAAGAAAGTAGGAAATTCCACATACTTAAGCTCATAAAGTCCAGATTGCTCCCCAGTTCTGACACCACTAAATTCCGCTAAGTTATATCAGAGAAAGAGTAGGACCTACACTGTCCCAAGAAACTGGGATTCTCCCTTGAAAACTTGGATTTTCCCCTGTATGAAGCCACCTAAAAATCTGCTTTCCCATCTGAAAGGCCAAGTCATAAATATCTGCAAACATCCTGTCTCTTCTCAATAGCTCATACTTTTCCTGAATGCGTTGGCTTCACAATACTGTATAATCTCCACTTGGCTTCCTACTAAGCTTCCCCTGGTGGCTTCCTTGCCCACTTCCTTGCTACCAGGAAAGAATCTACCAGGGAAAAGAACAAGGAAAGCATGGTGTCAGAAATCACAGTTGTTCATGTCTCCCCACTTGAAAATGGAAAAGCGGGAATAAATATTGGTGGAAAAGCCTGCTCTATCTACTGTTATGCCACAAACCATAGCAACTCTTGCAACACTGCATTTTATTAGAGACTCATACTGGAGTTAGGTGATAACTTAAGGACCTCAGCTTTCATTGAAAAACAATTTTAAGAAATCAATTAAATTTTTTTTAAAAAAATCAGGTCTTCGTGGTTCCAGACTCAAGTTCTAAAGTTTCTCAAATCATATCCCAAGAATGTGGTATGGCAAGGGTCAAAACACAAAACCAAACATGTTAGTTTGCCTACAAAATCTCAATATCCTTAGGTCAGTATTACGTTTGGTGGAGAGTGGAATTACTTGTGATGTTTGAAAAAAATGGGTTTGATTGTGCTCCTCTCCCCTAGTTGCAGGAACAGATACTGTCTACTCCTTCTTTCTTCCAGCAAGTCAACACAACTGCCAACATGTGATCCCTAGATTATTTCCTTGGCCACAGGGTGTTGCCATACTCTGGGGCTTGCTTGATAGCCAGAAAGGAAAGCAGGTCTGTGACATAAGAACAGTTACTGAAAGCAATGGGAGAAGATATTGAACACATTGATAAAAGAAGTTTCATTTCCTATTCTGTCTATTCCTAAAGCTCAGCCAGAAAACTGCACAGTCTTACTTTGCTACTTTGATTAACCAGACCACAAATTTGCCATTGTTCATTAAACTACCTACCAATATTGAAACAATTCTAATAGCAAAGCCTTTAAACCCACCTCTATTGGCTCTTCTCCTCCTTTGGTTTGATTATCGCCCACCTCTCCACTCTCATAATTGCTGCTCTTCTCAACCCACAATTCTGATTTTTCTACAGTCAGACGTAGCTGATCAAGATCAGCCTTGATTTGCTTGTAGTTATCAACATCTTGATTAGACACCAGCAACTGAACCTGGAAATACAGAAAATTGTAAATCTATTACAGCAGTAGCACTAGCACTTATGCCTGGGTAATTTGCTTGACAGTTTCCATTCTAAGTCCCTCTTTTCAGGTGCTTTATGTAACCTTCCCTCTGAAATTGAAACATGGTACACACAGGCTTTTTAGCCTCCATTCATCAAAAGCCTTTAACAGAGCTGGAGACTTGGAGCTAGTTGCCCAAAACAGGATAGTTATTCACAACACTCTCTTGCCTTCTTTAATACGCTGCAAAACAATTTGAGCACAAGCACAGAATTACAACCTCTTGAGTTCTATGCAGAGGTAGCTCTAATGTACTGATTATGATTCTCATGGCATTAAAACAATACAGTCACATGGTATTAAAGCAATACAGTTTGAAAAAGCTTATCCCATCAGCACAGCACTTTACGAGAAAAAGATAAAAAAAAAGGATGATAGAACAGGACATCCAAAGAAAAGTCAGCAACTTTAATGATCACCTACATCACTGTAATCAAATATTGAAAAATAACAGATTTTAACACTATTATGCCAGCTTAGAAAAACCTGCTGGAATATAGAATAGGTCACAAACTGACTTTCAGGTTCACTTAATTTCCCACCATCTGAGCAGTTGCCTCTTACTAAGAATAATCTCACTTTTTCTTTTCTTGTACTGCTCAGATTATCTGGCTTTTTTCACTGTTATTTGTAGTTCTTGATTTAGCATGATCTACCCATTTCCTTCCTTTGTAATGCTCTTTGCTCTACCAAGATTATTAATGAAGGTAATATTCCAAAAAACTAACAACAATCTTTACAGCAAATCAATAAACACTATTAAGAAATCACACTTATGTAAAAGATTAAGGTCACATGGTAGACAAGAACACTGACTGGGACATTCTTTAAAAAAAATAATCACTACATGCAGGCAAATATTCACTATTTTGTAATATAAAGTTTTCATCATCTTCTCTCTTAGCTTGGCAAAACCTTGTTATTTTACAGAATTTATGAATGCTGCTCATCCACAGACATTCATAGTCAATGTTCTCTTTTTTGTTTATTTGTCAATTACCCTTTTCCATCCTTGGCAAAAACATTTTAAGCTACTCAGTCCTTGATTACCTGGGAATAACAGCTATTTATGCAACTAACCGGCATGGCCTAACTTTAACAACCTGGTGGGAGGCCATTATGCTACACTGCAAAAACATTAAACAAAGGCTTTCCGGGTCTTTATCATTCATCTGTTTTTAAACAAGAGAAACCTCCACATCTTACATAACGATGAGACAACACGCTATCAAACTCCTGAAATAAGCATCAGATGGTCTTATCAACATATGTTATATAGGGTTACGTAACAGAGATGTCTCTGTCATCCAGCCCCATGACATCAGATCTCCCCATCCTAATCCACTGACACATGGAGCCTGCACATGCACCGTTATCAAGCAGAAAGAATACAAGCTGAAAACAGGCTCGGCTCTATTACTCTCCTTCTGTTATTTAGGCATATCTGTATCATGCAGTAGAGCACAATGCAAAGACACCTGAATTAGAACTAGAAACACCACACGTATAACAAGAGAGCTTTATACCCAGCCTAAGTAGCCCTGAAGATAGAAAAGTCTCATTGCTGACACCGGTACACTGCTTGCAGAACATGAGCTACTAACTCTGTCTCTGAGGGATCACTACATCATGAGATGCGTGTGTCCCAGCTGTCAACACAGACCTACGTTTTTAGTAATGGATGCAATGCCAGAAATAACTGCTTCTGGGTGCACAACTACAATACACACTAGCACATATGGTCAACTCTAACAAGAAAAAAAAAAATCTCTGCTGAATTTGGACCTCTAAGGAAATAACGCTGTCATGCTACAAACAGCAATTTAGGTAAGTAAAGCAGCCTTTGGAAAGACTTTCCCCTCAGTCAGCTTCCTGGAATAATGCTATGCCCATCCATACCTGTTTAAATGCTTGCAGAACTTCTGCTCTCTGGCTGAAGTGCTTAAATAGCAGGTGCAGAGCACCTGAGAGCAAAGGAGGGTAGTCATGCATGATGAGGTGAATGAGGACCCGTAAAAAAGTTCTGCCCCCTTCATCATCAAGTTGAACTGCATTCTTCTCCTTTCTGCAACAGAAATGGGAAAAAAGGACCAAATAGAGTAAAATAAATAAGAAAAAAAAATAAAAGCTTTTGACATAAATATGCCTGTACACACAACCTTCATTTGACAGAGCTCTTCAAACCAAATCAAATACGCTGCAGGATGGAAACTATAAACATCACTTTAACATATTTTATAAGGACTTCAGTCCTACAGTTATATGCTGTTGCAGCAATCTTGTAGCAGAATGGACACTACGGAATGAAAGTAAGCATGTATGAAATGTATCAGATATTGTGATTAAAATCCATATTGCAAAAACATTCCTTTATGTCTTGGATAAGTTGTGCCAAGCTCATCACCAATCCAAATTAATTGAAGTAAACAGCATTTCATCAGAGAATAATTTGGTCCTTTCCTTTTCACTCCTCCTCTTTTCAGCTGCTATTAAGATTTCATTTAAGAAAAAAATAAGCTCAAAACCAGTAAGAATTGCCAAAAGCATCATATTTTTGGAATCATATTCATAATCTAGAACAGCAAAAAGCAGATTTACACTTAACATATCAAAGCAAAAATAATGTTTCCAAGAAACCATTCAGTCTCTCTGTTCATTTTAAGACGCAGATGTCAAGGGCTGTGTGTTGTTTTACATTATGGGAGTTCAGGGAGAGGACTGGAGGCATTGCTTGCGCTGGTAAAGATTGAGAATGCATAAGGGACTGAGAGAAGAAAGATCAGAGTGCCCATAGTGCGGATCCTTCTCCCTAGCTCCAGTAAAACTTTAAAGTCTATGGCCTTGTCTAAATGGGATTCATTTTTACTGGTTTAATTATAATTATACCCGTAAAATTAAACCAATATAGTGATAATGGTAATAACTCTCCACTGTGGATATCTTCTGTGCTTTTTTTTTTTGTTCACAGTGTAACTGAAATCACTTCCAAAACTCTGCAAGCGTAACTTGTGATCTACAGGCCTCTGCTGGTCCAGAAGATCATGGCAAGTGGTCCACAGTTGATTTGAGGAGTCATATGAAAAAGATTATTGTTGACATAACTTTCTAAATAGGTTAAAACACAAGGTGCAATGACAACAGGTCATGCGGTCTATGAGAAACACTGAGGGTCAACAGTAACCTACTGATCCAAGACATTTTGGGCTACAGCCATAAGGTACACCACAAAAAGGTCTGTCTTTAAAAGTACCCCTGTGAGGCATTATAAGATAAATAAATAATTAGTGTGGTTTACCCCAATACAGCTGTACACCCTTCCCCAGCTGCCTTTGGGAACATGACAAAAATGTTTCTACCAACTCTCTTACAACTAAGAGGGTGGTCATTTCCAATCCCACAGCCATCCATACCAACTGGGCTGTTTGCTTGTTTCAAAGCCAGGTCTTTTCTGGCACTTTCCTATCTATGTATAGATTATGTAATAAGAAGCAGCCAAAGGAAGAGAAAGGTGTATGAAAATAAGCACTGAATAAACAGAGATCGTCCACGAGAAATATCAACATGAACAAACAGAGAGGTAAAACATCAGAGAATATACCTGCCAGCAAACATGGTTTCAGCCTGAGCTGCAATTTCATCTATGTCAGGAACCACTGCTGGGAAAAAAAAAAAAATCAAAACCAAAATTAAAAAATTTTAAAAAAAAAGCGCCAGTGATCATTGTTTACTCTGCACAGCAAAATAGAACTCGGTTCCTCTTTAAAGTAGATGTTATCAAGTAAAGCTCTAACTATGCATTCCTCAATTAGGTAAAATTCGCTATCTGCAAGAGTAGAAGGGAAGAAACAGGACATGGGGCAGAGTTAAATCGTGTATTACTATTACTGAGGAACAGCCAAATTGTCGTGATGAAACAGAGCTCTGTGGTGCTAGGAGTTGTACAAACCCCACTACCAGTGACCCACAAATGACACAGAACATGAAACTTTTACATTTTTTGTTAGATGAGCCAACCCCCACAAAGCAGACACGTGAACTTCAGAATGTTTATCATAAACCAAATCATTCACCACACTGTCATTTAGAATAGCTTTAATACACCTTACTACTTAAGACTTTAGTACTCCTTAGCCACCCCTCTGTTATACAGCACCTCCAACTGAAGCAGTTCTCCTCTACTTGCAGGTGGTCACAGTGTGAACACTTCTATGTGCATGGGAACAATCTCTGGCAAGCCAATGGCAACTCCATTCCCATACCACGTTCACCTCACTTAAATCTGTCCTCATCCAACCCCATCCATTTTCTCATGATCTACCCTCCACTGCATTTGTCATTGTGCAGTGTTTTGAGAAGAGAACAAATGGTCGCCATGGAAAAAGGAATCGCATTTTTGCTAGAGGACGACAGGCCAGCAAAAATCTTGTTTTTCAGGGATTCCTTAAAATTTTAATTTTTCCACAAGCTTTTCAACTTTAAGCGGCAAGCATCTTTCTGGCGTAGTTGAGTTCATTGTTTGCAGTAGTCTACACAGAATTATTTTACATTGCAATACAACAGCAACATTTACCTGAGGTAATCCCTGGTGTGTCAGGCGGGGATGCTGTAGAGCAATCAACATTTTCATTGTTTTCCCCAAACTCTCTCTTATAGATGGAAAGCATGTAGGATATTCTATAGTCCAGTCTAACACTGAGAATAAACTATAAGAAAAAAAGTTTTATGTAAGACTTTTCTTCTGCCATTCGGTGACGTGTCAGGATTTTTCTGTGGTGGAACATACAGGTATACATGACGATTTTAAGTAAATTATTAAGTAAATTATTTTAAGTAAGTATGTCCACTACAAAAAGAAAAAGAATCCATTATGTTCATCAGTTTTCTGTGATTTATTTCTTCACTCTGACCATCCTGAGAGATACTAAACTCTACCCTATCGACTGCTGAATATTAAGAAGACTTGATTTGTCCAAGGGCTCCAGCACACTGCCTTGTTCTCATTACCTACAAGCCAGATCAGTACATTCAAACCCATGTTGAAACCAGTTATTTCATATTTCAGTCAGATTTTTGTGCTCCACGAAGATGAGAAGTGGAGTGGGGTTAAAGAGTAAAGACGACAGGCTCAAGGCTGGCCCTCTCAGATGCCCGGCAGCCAAGGGCAGCAGTGCTGCAGTAACTCCAGGCTTCCATGGACTGAAGCACAAGCCTGGTGGTGTCTCTTGTTACATTGCTAATGATCAGTCTGAGGATGTAAGAAGCAAATAGCATTTCCTTCATGAGCTGCTAGTAGTGTTGCCAGCATGTGGCAAAAAAAACCCAAAAAAACATTTTTGGCTTTGGAAGCTACCACTGTAATGGTAGCAGAGATCCCCCTTACTCAACACTCCGCTTTCTTCTGACTGTTCTTGCCTTTTGTTCCTCATCTCTGAAACTTAAACTCATACAGAAAAAATCCTAATTCAAAACTGGATGTGCTGCTTTTATATTGGAATAGCGAGGAAAATAACTAGGCTGGAAATATTAGTACCAATTTAAGGACCGGCACATATACATCTGACACTCCAACAGCTGACTTCCCATCAACTGAGTTTCAGCATTTCCCGCACTTGCTCCTTGCCCACAGTAAACGCAAGCACACAATGAAACAGGTTTAAGATAATTTAACATATTTTACAATCAGTGGGGATGAAAGCACATTCTGTTAAGTTACTAAGACTCAGGTGACAGGTGATGACTTAGCAAATGGTGGCAACCTGTTTCTTTGATCTCTAACTAATGTTAGACAAGCTTCCCAGACCCATAATACCATAATAGGATTTGACTAGGACTATACCATCTAAAAGCAAATAAATGCCAGTTTAAGAAACAATATCTATTCTTTAAAATCTTTGAACAAAAGAGAAAAAAAGGCAGGTCTATTTTGGTTCCATGATCAAGTTACCCTATAATTGTACAAGCAAGATTTTTAAAAATAAAAATTTTCCAAGTCCCAACATAGTCAACAGAGTCTATCAGGCCATCTGTTTAATTCTGGCTGATGGCAGAATAGAAACTCTTAAGTAAAAAATCCCTGTACTTAAAGGAATAAGAGGATATATTAAGAATTAAATTATTATAAACTGAAATATTTCTTAGACTGGAACAGTTTTAATCACCATTGTACTAGCTATACATGTTAAAACAATAAATCTAAAGTATTCTTATTTGCCTTCTAGGGTAACAGCACTGTAATGAAAGGTAACGTGATTTAAATTAATCCTCCTTCATTGCATATTAAACAAATTATTTTGTATTTCTTGTGAAAATCATATATATGCACATTTACTGTGATGCACTCAAAATATGACAATTTGCTAATCTGCAATAATTTGACCATATGACTAAACCATAACAACAAGCCACAGATTAAGTAACAATTAGGATTAAATGCTTTCCAATCCCAGGTGCTCTTGCACTGGATGTGCTGTGAAAAAGGAAAGGATGAGACAAAATGCGATTCTCTTGCCTGTGAGCAGCCAGGGAATGCACAGGACAAGGTTGGTGTCCTGGAATCATCCTCCTAGGCATCAACCAGTAGAGCAAGACAGTATGGAGAGAAACTCAGTCAAAAATGAAAATGAGAAGCAATACACACGAATGGAATTATTTAGGTGACATAACTTCATAACACTCGGTCCTTCACCATAAGCCTTAAACTGGAGGAGCTCTGGAACCAAAGTATGCAGTATTGAGGATACTCTAACAAATTATAGTCTTTCAAGTGACAAGTAATTAAGGTAATATAAATCATTTATAAGCAGTCAGAACAAATTGAATCCTTCAAAAGTGACAATGGTACCAACAGATTCGGAGAATTTATAGAAAACACTGAAACATTCCTTCAGGGCATAAGTATTGCAGAAACTGGGATTTGATATACAGAACAAATGTGTGCCACTTGCCACTTCACTTACTAATAGCACAAAGTGAGAATTATATCTCAGGAGGCATGCCAGTGTCATATAGCTTGTCAGTTCAGCTGGGAGAAAATCATAGCAGCCCACAGACTATTCTCAATCTAACAGTGGAAATCTGAAAGAGACTTCAAAAGTGCATGGCCTTGCATGACTTCAGTGGGTCTAGGTCCAATTCATCGAACTACTGTAACAGAAAAGTCAAATACTAAAGTCAAGCAAGCTACCCCAGTGTAGAATGAGTGTTAATGAGCCTGGAAACAGACATGCTGTCTTCAGAAAACATTAGTGAGGCAGATTAAAGGACAAGTTCTGCCTTTTGACAGTCATAGTGACAGAGTTTCTACAGCATCTTCTTCCTTCAAAAGTGAAGTAGGTGTAACAGAGTGAGGGCCACAACTGTACAATTGTTCACACAGAGGAGTGTTATTTTTACAAGGAACAGCCCAGTGAATAGTAAGAATATACATAACAGAACCTGCCACTAAGTGAATAAGTAAACTGTGAAATGACGGCTATGTAACATTCCACCAAGCATTATTACCTGCAAAATCTCAATGATTTTCAATTTGGTGTCCATTACGATCACATCTTCACTGTCTGAGGTGCTGGCTTGCTTGCTTGGGTGAATGCTTGGCTGTACATCAGGGGCACTGATGGGAAATATAGATCCTCTGCTCAGCACCATTTGTGTCATCATCTCTCCTACACCATGGATGGTCCTCATAACATTGTTTCCTATGCATTAAACAAAAATACATACTCATTTGCCACGAGTAAAGCTTGCTTGCAAAGCTATATATGACACATACACCCATGTCATCAAACCCCTTTACAGTCTTAATAGGTATATTGAAAAGTAAGTCCTCAATTCCTGTTCAAAACTCAGGAGAAGGAATTCATTCAAATTACCTAATGGTTTAGGGACAAATTTTCTACACCAATTTTCCAAGAGATCATTTCTTACAGGTCAACAGATGGAAAAGATGCCAAAACATTTCCACAGCTCTGTTAACCCTGTTAAGTTAGATGTGCTTGACAGTAAGGCTGCTTTTGGCACTGCAGAAGCTGGAAGGAGACTATCCAAGTATCTTACATGTTACACTGAGAGAGAGTAAAGACTTGAGGCCGTGCAAGTCTGACCAATCTCTGTATGTGGTCCAAATGACAGGCCACAAACCAAAGCCAACTGACACAACTAGCCAAGCATCACCCTTCAAAAAAAGTCCCAGGAGAAAGTCAGGCCCTGAAGGCTGTCCTGAAGGTCAAACCAGTATCTGTAACCATAGTGCCCTTCAGAAGTTATACCTGGGGGAAAAAGTTATTTTACAGTCATGCAGCAAAACACTTTACCCAGTCTAGTTGCAATGGTTCCTATCACAGATGCCAGTTCAAGCAAAAGCTACCAAGAAATACCATCTGTTCCCATAGATTATACTGGTCTGTCTTTATAGTGAATTTTGATATGAAAAGCATCTCAGTGAATCAGTGACTATCTTCTTCCTAAGGTGGGGAGAAGAAAGAAAAAGAGTATCGTCCTACCTACCTACATGCTTTAGTTTCCTTTCTTGCAAAGCACAAATCTGAATGAATGGAGGAAAGGAAGGGAATGATAGCATCTCTTCGCAGAAAGAGCACCAAGACCAAGACTACACCAAAAGCAAACAGGAGAATGGAGGAAATGTAGCTTTGCTGAGGTAAGCCTGAATAGTTCTTGTATGCCTTTTAGTGCACTTTAATCACCGTGCAACTGACAAGTTTTACTTCACACTGAAGAGACCCTCTTCCCAGATAATCTGCTGTAAAAAGCCAAAGCTATATTTTATTTTGTTAGCAATACCCTTCTCTTATGCCCTTCTTTCTTCAACACATAGAGCTCAAGTACTGCCTGCAGGGAAAAAGGATGCCTTCAGCCCTGACTTCAAAAGGAAAACACACAAAGAAACTGCTTTTTCAAAGTGAATGAGGCAGATTAGTGTCACGTTTGAGGTCCCATTCAGCATCTGGTCCGGTGTGCAATCACTCTGAATCGGTCTTTTAAAAATAATACTTCAAGTCCCTACAAAGGAGGGAAAAAGATATATTTCTGACTTTGCATGATGTTAGGGAAAAAAAAATGGAAGTCAAACTAAGGGCTAGATCCTCACATTAGGCAGGCACAAAAAGTTCTCCTAACTGCTTACATTAGTGTAAAGCAAATAAAAATATCCTTCTTGCTGCAAAATGAAAATGGTGCGTTTTCCTTTCAAAGCAAACAGCTAGGAATAACATTGTACAGATCTATGTCTCTGCCCCCGTCCCCACACCCTTTGTCCCAGCATGCTAAACATTTATTGACCATCATTAAGTGCACCCATGTAAAGCTAGATTACTAAGTGGAAGACCTTCAACCTTTAAAGTAGCTTCAGTTAAACTGACTTTTTGCATCTTCTTCATCTTCAAACCATGAAATAAATGACCTCATTCATACCTTCCTGTCCTTAATGCTGACTGATAAGCCCACAATCAGACTCATAGGTTGTGCATCTGCTTTGTGGTCTGCAATATCCCTGCTCTACATTTCAGTTGAGAGGTCATCATCCTCTCTCTCACAACATGTTTTCAAAAACCCTTTCACTCAATTGTACAGAAGCAAATATAAATAGAAGCACTGCTATTTGGAAAGCTCAGGAATTCTTTATAAAACAACTTGAGTCAATGGGGTTACCAGCTGATAATTAAACCACTTAAGTCTAACACAAGTCCAGAAGGTATTCTTCTCAAAAACTAGATACAACTGCCGTTTGTCCCAAATGAGGCAAAATTCCACTTTATCTTGAAAAGTTCCTGCCCACCCTTCAAGACTGAAGTCCACTCAGTGTAAAGTTAACAAAAAAGGTAGTCTCTTTTGGACAAGGAATCAGGCAACACCTTGGAGAAAGAAAACTGGGATTTTGCTTAGAGCATACATCTCGCTTATTTTTCAGCTATCACAGCTGCACAGGCACCACAGGGGATGGGATTCAGCTCCCTCTGTGACCAAGGAATTAGTCAGTCTCTCTGCATTTCAGGACCACCTCCATAAGTGAGGAGACTACTTTCTCCATCTCTAAAAAGGACAGTGGGAGGCCTGATATAATAAAGGCTGGGAGGCACTCAGCTAGTGTGATGATGGAGCCTATAAAAGCACCTAGGAAATAAGAAGTGAGATGACTGCTGTCCCTTCCTTTTACCCGTGGAACATCAGTGGTAAAAGATGGTACCAAACCAGTGAGCAGTAGCTATGAAGCTGCTTCCCAACAGCATCAGTAACAAGGATAAACCTTCTGTCCGCAACATTCCTTTACTATTGACCTTCATGCAATTGATCTGAACATCTAGAGGCGGAAAAGCAAAGGAGGATTAAGGTGGTACTTATCACTGCCGTTTCAAATTGTATTTCATGAATGCATAAGAAATTACTTTAGTGAGAGAAAAGTCTACTTACTCCAGTTTTAACTGAAATGGGTAGTGACTCAATACTGTATTATTTCTGCCAATGACAGCAGTGAGACAAGGTGTCATGGGTAAACCCATCTCAGAAAACTTCTTAACTGCCTGATGCTGACTATTATTTTCAATTAACTCAGAGCAGGCTTGGGGAGAATATTTCGAGAGTAAAAATAATACAGCAACTGGAGCAATTCAGCATTCTTTTCAGGAAAGATATTTTAACAACAATGTTTTGTAGGGTGCTGATGAAATGTAACCATCTCTTAAGAGCAGACAGCAGTCAACCAGCACATTCATGCATGGCAATGAAGCAGCTGACTGTGTTTCAACACTGGGAGGAACTGCTGTATTCTTTGAAAGAAGCCATGAGGATCATTCACGTACATAAAGAGTGGGCAGTAACTTCTCTTCCAAAAGATTCCCCCAGTAATCAGCACTCATGGTGCTCAGTGTTATCTGTCCAGCCTTGGAAGTCTAGACCGTGTTAAGCATGGATTTAAATCTATCACTCACAAACATCAGGGGCCAGCAGCAGTCTTGCTGGTGAGTTGTTTCTTCTTACTATGCTTTTGTGTTCTCTTGGCTTTAATACAGTATCTCATCAGGAAAGGGTATGAGTCTCTAAGGTAAGGCATGCAGAAAGGTTATTGTGGCTTAAAAAGTGACTGACTGCATGTCAGCTAAGCCTGCAACAATGCAAGACAAAATACACTGGCTCAATAAAAGAGATCTAAGTTCTCAGTACATATGCACACAAGGACTAAAATAACAGAGCTCTGATCTTAGTTACAGCTCCAAAGTGCTTCCTGAATACCAATGCCCAAGGAAAAATTAACTTACTGCCTCAGCTAGTAAACTGAAGTCAATCAGGAGAGATAGCAAGTAGACGTGAACCTTGATTACTTTTCTGTGCACTTTGCTAGAGATAAGTGAAGAGAACCCTGAGCTGTGCCTTCATACAGTACTGCCACCCTTAACCTGCTGACCTCCATCATTTGTTGTCTTCTTTGAGGTCAAGATATTGACATTTATATATGGCTGAGAAGTGTGGCAAGGAGAGAATGGTCATTGCAATGTTGTAAGGTGCTAGTGTGTGCAACCAACCACTTCTCTCACCAGCAAACCACTGCAAGAGTGCTCAGAACTGCGACTGCCCATCAGAGGAAAAGAACACAAGGCAATCTCCGTGAATCTTCTTCCATTTTTCAATTTTCCCCTCCTCTCCCCAATTCTTCCCCTCTGCTCCTCCTTCTGTCAAGACAAGTCAGATGTCAAGAACCTTCCATAAGCAGTGAACCCATTAGAAATACCTCCTGTTGAATCATATGGTCTCACTAGGTTAGCCAACAGAAGAGTGAAATCACTTTACGCACAAGTGGTAATTTAAAGGAGCTGTAGATTGACAGGTACTGAAAGCAGAGGAAAGAAGAGAATGCTTGTCAGGTTTTGAAAAGACAACTGCGCATCTCCTTTTCATTACTTTTTATTACAGTGATCACAACTTCCTAATGAATATCAGTTTCTGACACAAAACTGTAGCACATAATCTCATACAATTTGGCACGATTGACAACACAGCGGCCTCTCTGAGAAGAAAGACTTTTCAGAGGAGTCAATTATGGGAAAAAAATAACAACCACCCAAGTAATCGAAACAGTGGATAATTTGACACTTCATTTTCTACATAAACATATTTTCTTGATAAGTCATTTACTGGTTGCAAAAATTCTAAAAGCAGAATATAAAAGTAAACAACAATCTGCTATGTAATACAGTATGGATGGTAAGTGACAAAATACCATATTCAGAAAGAAAAAAACTGTCAAAGGCAGCTGGCAATTTATGCCTTTTCTTCAAATTGTTCCTAGCCAATTGCTATGCAGCATCCTCAGTTTGCTCTCCAGTACCCACAGCATTTTAGGTATTTCACAAATAGTGCAGAGAAATATGTGGTAGCTGAATGTGAACACACAATGGACAGCCTCAAAGGCTGGCAGATACAGCAAGTAGCCCTCTACTCCACAGATAACCCCAAGACACCAGGGAACTGACTTGCAGCCTTGTTTATTTAAAAATTAACTATATGCACCCCATCTGGTCCCTAGTTGCCTCAGAGGAAGAGAGTCTGCTCTTACTAACATTATTGTTCAGTCTTCCTCAACAGAGATCTAGGAAAGATGGATTCCTAGGACTCCATTTTCAAAACTGCTCAGCCATTTTTAGCTCGAACAGTATTCCACAGTGCTCATCTCCCTACTCATAAATGT